AGATAGATAGATAGATAGATAGATAGATAGATAGATAGATAGATAGATAGATAGATAGATAGATAGATAGATAGATAGATAGATAGATAGATAGATAGATAGATAGATAGATAGATAGATAGATAGATAGATAGATAGATAGATAGATAGATAGATAGATAGATAGATAGATAGATAGATAGATAGATAGATAGATAGATAGATAGATAGATAGATAGATAGATAGATAGATAGATAGATAGATAGATAGATAGATAGATAGATAGATAGATAGATAGATAGATAGATAGATAGATAGATAGATAGATAGATAGATAGATAGATAGATAGATAGATAGATAGATAGATAGATAGATAGATAGATAGATAGATAGATAGATAGATAGATAGATAGATAGATAGATAGATAGATAGATAGATAGATAGATAGATAGATAGATAGATAGATAGATAGATAGATAGATAGATAGATAGATAGATAGATAGATAGATAGATAGATAGATAGATAGATAGATAGATAGATAGATAGATAGATAGATAGATAGATAGATAGATAGATAGATAGATAGATAGATAGATAGATAGATAGATAGATAGATAGATAGATAGATAGATAGATAGATAGATAGATAGATAGATAGATAGATAGATAGATAGATAGATAGATAGATAGATAGATAGATAGATAGATAGATAGATAGATAGATAGATAGATAGATAGATAGATAGATAGATAGATAGATAGATAGATAGATAGATAGATAGATAGATAGATAGATAGATAGATAGATAGATAGATAGATAGATAGATAGATAGATAGATAGATAGATAGATAGATAGATAGATAGATAGATAGATAGATAGATAGATAGATAGATAGATAGATAGATAGATAGATAGATAGATAGATAGATAGATAGATAGATAGATAGATAGATAGATAGATAGATAGATAGATAGATAGATAGATAGATAGATAGATAGATAGATAGATAGATAGATAGATAGATAGATAGATAGATAGATAGATAGATAGATAGATAGATAGATAGATAGATAGATAGATAGATAGATAGATAGATAGATAGATAGATAGATAGATAGATAGATAGATAGATAGATAGATAGATAGATAGATAGATAGATAGATAGATAGATAGATAGATAGATAGATAGATAGATAGATAGATAGATAGATAGATAGATAGATAGATAGATAGATAGATAGATAGATAGATAGATAGATAGATAGATAGATAGATAGATAGATAGATAGATAGATAGATAGATAGATAGATAGATAGATAGATAGATAGATAGATAGATAGATAGATAGATAGATAGATAGATAGATAGATAGATAGATAGATAGATAGATAGATAGATAGATAGATAGATAGATAGATAGATAGATAGATAGATAGATAGATAGATAGATAGATAGATAGATAGATAGATAGATAGATAGATAGATAGATAGATAGATAGATAGATAGATAGATAGATAGATAGATAGATAGATAGATAGATAGATAGATAGATAGATAGATAGATAGATAGATAGATAGATAGATAGATAGATAGATAGATAGATAGATAGATAGATAGATAGATAGATAGATAGATAGATAGATAGATAGATAGATAGATAGATAGATAGATAGATAGATAGATAGATAGATAGATAGATAGATAGATAGATAGATAGATAGATAGATAGATAGATAGATAGATAGATAGATAGATAGATAGATAGATAGATAGATAGATAGATAGATAGATAGATAGATAGATAGATAGATAGATAGATAGATAGATAGATAGATAGATAGATAGATAGATAGATAGATAGATAGATAGATAGATAGATAGATAGATAGATAGATAGATAGATAGATAGATAGATAGATAGATAGATAGATAGATAGATAGATAGATAGATAGATAGATAGATAGATAGATAGATAGATAGATAGATAGATAGATAGATAGATAGATAGATAGATAGATAGATAGATAGATAGATAGATAGATAGATAGATAGATAGATAGATAGATAGATAGATAGATAGATAGATAGATAGATAGATAGATAGATAGATAGATAGATAGATAGATAGATAGATAGATAGATAGATAGATAGATAGATAGATAGATAGATAGATAGATAGATAGATAGATAGATAGATAGATAGATAGATAGATAGATAGATAGATAGATAGATAGATAGATAGATAGATAGATAGATAGATAGATAGATAGATAGATAGATAGATAGATAGATAGATAGATAGATAGATAGATAGATAGATAGATAGATAGATAGATAGATAGATAGATAGATAGATAGATAGATAGATAGATAGATAGATAGATAGATAGATAGATAGATAGATAGATAGATAGATAGATAGATAGATAGATAGATAGATAGATAGATAGATAGATAGATAGATAGATAGATAGATAGATAGATAGATAGATAGATAGATAGATAGATAGATAGATAGATAGATAGATAGATAGATAGATAGATAGATAGATAGATAGATAGATAGATAGATAGATAGATAGATAGATAGATAGATAGATAGATAGATAGATAGATAGATAGATAGATAGATAGATAGATAGATAGATAGATAGATAGATAGATAGATAGATAGATAGATAGATAGATAGATAGATAGATAGATAGATAGATAGATAGATAGATAGATAGATAGATAGATAGATAGATAGATAGATAGATAGATAGATAGATAGATAGATAGATAGATAGATAGATAGATAGATAGATAGATAGATAGATAGATAGATAGATAGATAGATAGATAGATAGATAGATAGATAGATAGATAGATAGATAGATAGATAGATAGATAGATAGATAGATAGATAGATAGATCGATCGATCGATCGATCGATCGATCGATCGATCGATCGATCGATCGATAGATAGATAGATAGATAGATAGATAGATAGATAGATAGATAGATAGATAGATAGATAGATAGATAGATAGATAGATAGATAGATAGATAGATAGATAGATAGATAGATAGATAGATAGATAGATAGATAGATAGATAGATAGATAGATAGATAGATAGATAGATAGATAGATAGATAGATAGATAGATAGATAGATAGATAGATAGATAGATAGATAGATAGATAGATAGATAGATAGATAGATAGATAGATAGATAGATAGATAGATAGATAGATAGATAGATAGATAGATAGATAGATAGATAGATAGATAGATAGATAGATAGATAGATAGATAGATAGATAGATAGATAGATAGATAGATAGATAGATAGATAGATAGATAGATAGATAGATAGATAGATAGATAGATAGATAGATAGATAGATAGATAGATAGATAGATAGACAGACAGCGAAACTATTAGTATTAATGTTATTGCACAATAAGTGAACTAAGAGATCAAAACACAAGTAGTATATGACTATTTAATTTACATTTACTTTATTTAGTTTTATATAAAAGAAATATAAAATAAGGTTAAAACTATTCAACCGCTAAAAACTTATTCTTACTACTTAATTTTAGAGTAAATGTTACGAAAATGTATAATAAGATAATTCCATAATGGTTTAAAAGATGTGGTGTTAAAAAAAAAATATAAGAATTCGGGTTTTTTTAAACGTCCAACCTTAACATAACTAATAATTTAAAAGAAACAAATCAACTTTACTGGTATTTTATATATACTCTTAAATTATTATAGAATTCCTAGTGCTGATCAAACTTTTATATAAATAGTATAAAGATAAATCACAACATTTTGAGTTTAAAAACATTTTTTTTATGTTGTTAGACTGCTTATCATTACAAGAACTGATTTTAGTTTGTATATAATTCCCCACAATCCATTGATTCGGCAATGACGCATTTACCTCCCTTGGCCTAATTCACTATTGTTCTCTGTGTTGACTGACAACATTCACATCATCTACATGCATTTGGTTGATGTCAGAAGAGGTCAAGGCCGTAGGTGATTTACATTATGGACTTCTTGCCCTTGGCCATTTTGAGAGTTGCTCAGCTTTCTTTCTTTAAATTAGCCATGAGCTGATTATCAGAATCGAGTTACCTTTGTTGTTTCCTAGCTTTGAAGAACTCGAAAATATAAGCCTTTGTATTTAAAATCTAAAAAAAGAAATATCTAAATTCAATATCTAAATTCAAATTTTAAAAAATAATTATGTCTTACAACAGAATAAGAGCGCTCGAATATCAAGTGAATCTTTACAGTTGCTGTCTATTAATTAAACGTGGGGTGAGGTGGGCATGATTTGATATGTAGGCCTCAGTGGCGTAGCCAAGATCGTCTCAAGGAGGGGGTTCCAATTTTTACCCGGGGACAAACTTTTGAATTGCACCCCCCTCAAACTTTCGATTTGCACCCCTCCTCATACTTTATATGTATACCTAGGGGTCTATGGGGGGGGGGTTATAACCCCCCTAACCCCCCTGCCTACGCCACTGGTAGGCCTATTTAGCTCAACGGGAATGGTAGGAAAAAGAAACAGCACACAAATGAGAAAACATTTATGTGGGGCAGTGTAGGTACAAGGATTAAATTCTGGTAGTTTTGATATGAGATTTTTATTCTGGTAGTTTTGATGAGATTTTTATTCTGGTAGTTTAGATATGGGATTTTTTTATTCTGGTAGTTTTGATATGGGATTTTTTTATTCTGGTAGTTTTGATATGGGATTTTTATTCTGGTAGTTTTGATATGGGATTTTTATCCTGGTAGTTTTAATATGGGATTTTTATTCTGGTAGTTTTGATATGGGATATTTATTCTGGTAGTTTTGATATGGGATTTTTATTCTGGTAGTTTTGATATGGGATTTTTATCCTGGTAGTTTTAATATGGGATTTTTTAATTCTGGTAGTTTTAATATGGGATTTTTATTCTGGTAGTTTTGATATGGGATTTTGTTTTTGCACCAGACGCCAAGGAGCAGTAGCAGCCGACAGGGACGTCACGAGCGTCTGGTGCATGATGGGATAGCTGCTTCACACTGCCATGTTGGTGACGGATATCAACACCTGGGCTTGCTGAAGCTGGACCCTTCCAGGCAAGTTGTTCCAACTTTAGCAGCATGTTGAGCGCAGTTTGCATAGTCTCCAGAGTTTCTTCCAGGCATCTCTTCGCACCCCCCCCCCTCCCCGAACGAAAAGAAACTCATATAGAAAATATATACTTTAAACAGAGCCCACACCCCCCTCGGAAAAAAATTTAGTCCGCCCCACCGAAAATTTCAAGTGCCCCCTCCCCCCCCCCTCTTTCCCGGAGAAAGGAGAAATAAGGATGGAGGAAACAATGATAGTCTCTTCAGGCAAATGTATTGTAGTTCTCTGTACATTACAAAACGAAATAATAATTTAGAAACAAGCACCATAAATTGCCATTTTTTTTTTACTTTATTGAAAGTACATAATATTTTGATAGAAGAAAGAAATTTTAAATATTTAAGCCTTTATGTAGGTTTATGTAATGTACAGGCGTAGTAGGTAGAGCGCTCCACTGCTAACCCAACAGTCTCGAGTTCGTTTCTGAAGAACGCCTGACTCACGTCTAGGAAACTAAATACGGATGGGCACAATTTTCTCCACTCTATCCCAGTATCCCTACATATGTTTTTGGGCACAATGCTCGCCACACTATCCCAATATCCCTACATATGTTTTTGGGCACAATTTTCTCTACACTATCCCAATATCCCTACATATGTTTTTGGGCACAATGCTCACCACACTATCCCAATATCCCTACATATGGTTTGAACTCTTGCCGTTAAGTCAGAAAGAAAAACTTTAATCTATGGCTTATTTATCAATGGGATTTGGATCTAGTTACATTTTGAATAATTTTTTAAAAGTGTTATTAAAAACGTATTGCTGTTATTTAAGATCGCAGTTTTTCTACTGCTTTGCTTGGCAGAATCAAATTTGAGAAGAAAATAACATGTGACCTGTACATTTTCTTTTGGTGTAGTTTGTGTCATGTGACTTGTACATTTTGTTTTGATGTAGATTGTGTCATATGACCTGTATATTTTGTTTTGGTGTAGTTTGTGTCATGTGACCTGTATATTTTGTTTTTGTGTAGTTTGTGTCATGTGTACATTTTGTTTTGGTGTAGTTTGTGTCATGTGACCTGTATATTTTGTTTTGGTGTAGTTTGTGTCATGTGACCTGTATATTTTGTTTTGGTGTAGTTTGTGTCATGTGACCTGTATATTTTGTTGTAATTTGTGTCATGTGACCTGTATATTTTGTTTTTGTGTAGTTTGTGTCATGTGTACATTTTGTTTTGGTGTAGTTTGTGTCATGTGACCTGTATATTTTGTTTTGGTGTAGTTTGTGTCATGTGACCTGTACATTTTGTTTTGGTGTAGTTTGTGTCATGTGACCTGTATATTTTGTTTTGTTGTAGTTTGTGTCATGTGACCTGTATATTTTGTTTGTGTGTAGTTTGTGTCATGTGACCTGTACATGTGACCTGTACATGTGACCTGTATATTTTGTTTTTGTGTAGTTTGTGTCATGTGTACGTTTTGTTTTGGTGTAGTTTGTGTCATGTGACCTGTATATTTTGTTTTGGTGTAGTTTGCGTCATGTGACCTGTATATTTTGTTTTGGTGTAGTTTGTGTCATGTGACCTGTACATTTTGTTTTGGTGTAGTTTGCGTCATGGACGGCTAGGCGGAAGTTGGAAGCACGTGAAGGAGGTCATGCAGCCTGGAGGGAAAAGACTTGTCTTCGTTGATGGTGAGTGGTTGTGTGTGGTGCCATTTATTTTAGCGAGGGACGAGATGGAAAGAAGTGTTAAGAATTATTGTGAAAATAAGGAAGCGGACAAGCCACACTAAGACTGACGTTGATGCCCACGTTCGTATCAGAGTATATTTCCGACATCTCTCGGAGTGGGGGAAGGGGAATCATATCCTCTCTCCTCTCACATCCGGGTGAAAGAGGAAAAAATTACTTTAACCAGTGTCCAGACGCCCCCCCCCCCCACTCCTCCTAACCACCCCCAACCCCATCTCGGAAATTTTAAGTGAGAACTCTCGGAGGTTTAAAATACCCCCACCCCCTTCCAGTTGGACGGAATGGTCTAGTGGTAGAGAGCTGGACTGCTAACCCGTAAGTCTCGAATTCGAATCCGGGTTCAAGTCAGTATACCGTCCCTGAGTCCACTCAACTCTGATGGGTACCTAACTGACGTTAGGGAAAGGAAAGGCGGCTGGGCATAGTGCTGACCACACTATCTCTTCATATGCCTAGGTCACAGAAACAAGTGAACTCTACTTCACTTGCCCCATATACCGTCAGGTTTGAAAGGGAAACTTTTTTTTACTTTACCCCCTTCCCAAACAACCATCATGAGAAAAACGCCTGAAAGAAACCTGTTCGTCCTTCAGGTCAGATAGCAGCCGATGAGCACATCAAGTCAAACATGGCGGCTGCTGATGTCACCAGGTCAGCTTCTGACTTGAACCGTGTCAACATGGTCAACCACGCCCACACTGGCAGACACAGAACCAGTCTGCTGGAACAAATTCCAGGTACACCGGAAGTCGCTTTACATGTTTCCTTCAGCTTTTTGTCTCGAGTAGCTGTATGTGTGTGTTAGCATGAGAGAGAGAGAGAGAGAGAGAGAGAGAGAGAGAGAGATCGCGTTGGCGTGTATCTGTCTTTCTGAATGTGTGGGAGAGTGAGTGTGTGAGAGAGAGAGAGAGAGAGAGAGAGAAGTAATCTAGATACGACCCCTGTTGACCAACTGACCAACACAACAAATGTCCCTTTGACCATCGCAACAAATGTCCCTTTTGACCAACTGACCATCACAACAAATGTCCTTGTTGACCAACTGACCATCACAACAAATGTCCTTGTTGATTAACTGATCATCACAACAAATGTCCTTGTTGATTAACTGACCATCATAACAAATGTCACCGTTGACCATTCCAACAAATGTCCCTGTTGACCAACTGACCATCACAACAAATGTCCTTGTTGATTAACTGACCATCACAACAAATGTCCCTGTTGACCAACTGACCATCACAACAAATGTCCTTGTTGATTAACTGACCATCACAACAAATGTCCTTGTTGATTAACTGACCATCACAACACATGTCCCTTTTGACAAGTTGACCATTCCAACAAATGTCCTTGTTAATCACCTGACCATCACAACAACACAACAAATGTCCTTGTTGACCAACTGACCATCACAACAAATGTCCTTGTTGATTAACTGATCATCACAACAAATGTCACCGTTGACCATTCCAACAAATGTCCCTGTTGACCAACTGACCATCACAACAAATGTCCTTGTTGATTAACTGACAACACAACAAATGTCCTTGTTAATTAACTGACCATCACAACAAATGTCCTTGTTGATTAACTGACCATCACAACAAATGTCCCTTTTGACAAGTTGACCATTCCAACAAATGTCCTTGTTAATCACCTGACCATCACAACAACACAACAAATGTCCTTGTTAATTAACTGACCATCACAACAAATGTCCCAGTTGACCATTCCAACAAATGTTTCTGTTTACAGTGGCGCGGTACGATATGCTTGATATCAGACGTGGCTTGGAAAGGGAAAACTGGAACATTGTTCGTTAGCCCATTTGATGGAAAACTGGAACATTGTTCGTTAGCCCATTTGATGGAAAACTGGAACATTGTTCGTTAGCCCATTTGATGGAAAACTGGAACATTGTTCGTTAGCCCATTTGATGGAAAACTGGAACATTGTTCGTTAGCCCATTTGATCCTGAGCCATCTCGACTGGTTATTTGCAAGCCCATTTATGCTTAGATCTACTTGTCTATTCGTTTTATCCCATTGATACTTTTTCGTCTGTTCGTCATTAGCCCATTTTATGTTGGCTCCATTAAAAAAAACACCTAAAACCTGAGATATTGAGACAATTTTTGTGGTATCAGTTGAGCCACACATTTCATACGTTCTAAATTTACCACCCAGCTAAAGCCGCTTTGACCTAACTATCCCCTAGGGCTTGTGACATTTACTTCGGACTTTATATCTGGCTCAAAATAATTTATTTATAGCCAGTGATCCGATGGTGTCGTGTATCTTTCATCACGTCCAACATCATGTTTTCAATGGTTGTAATACAACAGCGGCCATCTATAAATAACGTCGCCCTTTTTTTGTCAGTGTTTACCCGCCTCCTCCTCCCATCCCCCACCCCCGAGCCTGGGGCACAAGAGTGTTACGTCATTAATTAAAGACCCATCTCCAAAGTGTAACATATTATTCTGTTGTTATAGTGCAAAATGCCATGTTATTTTTTTTTAAATAATTATTATTTAAAACTTCATTAATTTTTTTTATGCGCTCACTGTAAAGCTTTATGTGTTTGTTGGTTTCAATTGAGATACACTTTCATGAGATACGCTTTTATGAGAGCCTATAATGCCCAGTATTATGACTTGCTCAGATTTTTACTGACAGTATTACATGTTTAATTATATAATTTTTTGCTTAATTACACGCTTACCAGTTGGTTTTTTTTTTACTTTTTAAAATAATATTTTTGTGCCTTCTACCCATTTTAAAATAAACATCCTTGAAATTTTATTTTTATGATTCAATAAATAGAAGAATATCTTGTTGAGAGGCAACTATTTTTAAAGTGTAGTAGAATTAGTAAAATATTTGATTGAGGTCTAGATCTGTATAGTTTTATAAAAGTAGTGTTTCATTCTGTTGAAAATGTTTAGAAAGTAGTTAATTAAACTAATCTGCTGAAAACGTTTGGAAACTAGTTAATTAAACTAACAAATTATTATTTTAAACTTAAACTTGATTTTTCGATTGATAAATCATGAGTACAATAAACGATGATTGATTAATTTGGCTAAGTCTTTATTTGATTTGATTGTAAATGAAGAAGCCAAATATTTTGACACATTCAACCCTCACCCTAACGTGTATATCTCGTGTTCTGAGTACCAGATACAATAAGAAAAATACTTTTAAAAAAAACTTTTAAAAAAACCACGTTTTTCTTGTGGACTAAAAAGCAGAAAATAAATTTTTCTTCCGACCCTAGGGGATCTACCAATGACTGCTCGTAGATTTTGTGCTTCCTCGAGCTGTGCAGGTTCTTGTTCGCTCACCTCGATTGGGGTTGTTTATAGCTGCTTTTACCATCTGTTATACAAGGTAACAGATTTACTCGATGTTCAGAGACATTTTTTTTAGATGCTTTCACTTTCCATTGAATTTTTTAAAGAATGTTTTTATAAAAGGGGGAATAATTAAGCAGTTGGACTAGTCCTCTTCGTGTCTGTAGATGCTTCGTTGTTTGAGTCTTATCAACAGTAAACTTGGCTGTGTGATGGATCGTTGTCTGTGTGTCAGCATTGAATGTGTATTTTTTCTGTTCCTTTGACGTAAAGACAGACTCTATATTATAGATCTATCCCTAGCTGTAATCCATTTTTTTTAGTTTCCTTAGAAAAGAATCTTTATTCTTAATTTTTGTCGCTAATAATCAAACAGAACAAAAAAAAAAACTAGATAAATAAAATCACTACACTTTTGTTAAGAATCAGCTGTCAGCTGTTATCAATATCATCTACACATCGAATAATCCATTCCAGTTTTAAAATAGCTAATTGTCTATTACCCAAATGTTACACGTAATTACTTTTGCTTTATTATTTAGAATAATTTGCAAAACTTGAGCAAACATCACAATGAAGTCAGTAATGTATACTGGCAATAAAAATGAAAACTTATATCATTGGGAAAAAAACTAACATTTACTTTCATTTTAAGAAATATTTAAAAAACAAAAACCTTTAGACAATTATGTATGTGGTACTGTATATATAATTTAGATAAATGCGTAACAAAAAAAAATCAAACACACATACACCAGTAACATACAGACCTTATCATCTATAGCTTGAAATTCATGCAATACATTAATTTATTAAACTACATTTCATATATGTAATCCCTTTGCCCTCACATTAACTAATAATTCAATTTTACTTTACCATGAGTCCAAAAACTAATTTCAAATACAAATTATATAAATGGTAAATTAACAATACTGTTTTTTTTAACTTTTGTCCTGTTTAATCCACTTTAAGGATACTACTTACAAGAGCAAATGTATGAATTAAAAGTGAAAAAGGGGTACAAGGTGCAGTGGCGTAGCGAGGTCGGGTGTCACCCGGTGCGGCACTTAATGGTGTCACCCCCCCCCCCCAGAGGCGTAGCGACCCTTCCCGGGGACAAACTTTCAAATTTTCGATTTGCACCCCCCCTCAAGTTTTCGATTTGCACCCCCCCCCCCCCGAACTTTCGATTTGCACCCCCCCTCAAGTTTTTCTCTATATATTTTCCTATTTTTTACCTTGGTGTCACCCCCCTAAATGGTGTCACCCGGTGCGGTCCGCACCCCCCGCCCCTCGCTACGCCCCTGACAAGGTGTATACAAATACCCGTTAATCCAAATATTTCAGTTACTTAGGATAGACTTCTTTGGGAGAATAAAATATTGATACTCTGGGCATCATTGACTAAGACAAGATATACAGGACAGTTTACAAGTGTCAAAAAGGCATTCTAAATTATCACAAAACTACACCTAGACTACTTCAATGCAAGAATTTTTTCTTTAATCTTTTCATGGTTGGCACCTACTATTTCATCAACCTTTCTGCCATTTTTATAAAAGTGAAGGGTAGGCATTGCTGAGATTCCACAAGCTTCTGCTGTATCCTCATTCTCATCTAGATCTACATCAATTTTGATAAAAGTAACATCATCATACTCTTCCACCGCAATTGCTGACAGTGTTTCTTCCAGACTTTTTTCTCCGGGGGGGCACTTGAAATCTTCGGGGGGGCGGTAAACTTTCTTCGGGGGGCGGACACTGTTAAAAGTATATATTTTCTATATAAATTATATAAATTTCATTTCGTTCGGGGGGGCGGTAAAGGATTTTCGGGGGGGGGGGGGGGGGGGGGCTTCGCCCCCCCGAAGAGATGCCTGGAAGAAACTCTGATTGCAGAGTACAATAAAGGTTTAAAGTTTTAGTATTGTACCATTACCATGTTAATTCGACTTTTGGTTTTCTGTTATAACTAGTGTCAAATAATAATGTCAACAAATATGAACTACAAACAGTTCTAAAATATTAGCAGTAATCGTATTTATTAATCAAATAAATTATGGTCCTTATTTTAAATCTTAGAAATCCCGAATTTCTGGGTAGTTTAAATGAATTTCGGCAACATAATTAGAAACAGTTTCCCTTATTACTTTTAATTTAATAATGGGAAGTAACTACCGCAAAATATTTTTTAATTGAATCATTCTATTTTTAACATTGCAATATGTCAACTTTTGTGGACGCGTGAAGACTGGGGGTGGGTCAATGTGGACGTACACGTTGAGTTATACATCAAAATACTTATACAATTTTTAAAATAAATTTTAAAAACTATATAAAATGCGGTAAATAAATCGGATGTTCTCGTGTAAAAGAAACAACCACCAGCTCAATGGGCTAATACCTGTATCAGAGATGTAACTGTATTCTGCCCCACTAAAAAATAAGCGGCAAATGTTTACAAGCGCGAGGGTGGGGGTGGGGGGCGTTAACCGCGGCCATTTTATAAAAATAATTCAAGGGAGTTGAGGTTAATCTTTATAAATTTCCAAAAATTGAAACATAAGTTTAAACAATGAGATCGTGCAACCAAATCACAGTAGGCCTTCATCATTATTCTGTGTCAATGCCAGAGTTTCTTCCAGGCATCTATATAAATTCTATAAATTTTTATATAAATGAAATTTATATAGAAAATATATACTTTAAAAAGCGTCCGCCACCCCCCACCCCGGAAAAAAGTCTGGAAGAAACACTGATGTAGACTTGTAGATCTAGCTTTTTTTTCAAAAAATAAACTCAAAATAACCACTCTTAAAACAGGAGTTTAAATAACGGCGCATCTAGAATGATCGCGTGGTCAGTTGTGTAGGGCTGACGAAAAGAGATGAGAGGTGGTTTATGTAAACAAGTGTAGCGAGAAGTGTCCGTAAGGTTCGGTAAAAGTAATAAGACGTCACGTTGATTAGACTAATTTTACCCCAACCCATATAGTCATTAATATATGGATAGCCACAAATGGCATCAAATAGTTGGGTCTACAGCCCCACTAACCCACCCTCTTTAATAAAGAAATATTTTATGACTGCCTGCCAGTGGCGGAACTAGAAAAAAAGGGCCACCCCGCAAAAAAAATTTTTTAGGCCCCCCATATATATATATATATATATATATATATATATATATATATATATATATATATATATGCAATCACATAATACAAACATAGGATACTCATTGCTGTCCTGTTCGGGATTTGAAAGACATTAATAAAAAAAAATTTCAACATCATGTCATGTGTGTAAGTGCATTAGCGTGTTTTGTGAAAAATCAGTTTTAATTAATTTTTGATAGAAGCCCTCTTATCATCCTGTCGGTCAAAATAATATAAAATATGAAAGCTTTGTATAAGTAATGGTGTCTCGTGTTATGTTTATTTTTTTTCTTGTAGTTATTATATTAATGTTTAAAATATTATTGATTTAATACATTTCAATACATTTCCCTTTTATACAATATTATTCTTTAGTAGTTACTTATAAAAAATAATAATTAAGAGAAGTAATTGCTTTTTAATTTGTTTAGTACAAATCTATTAAAAGGAGCTTATGATCACCCCTATTTGACTATTTAAAAAAAAAGGGAAATAAGTCATGGAAGTGGTTTGAACATTTGCTTATCTTTGATAAGTTTAATTGTAGGAGAAAGACTCGGCTTTCAAAGTTGTTTAAAAACAAAGGGAATAAAATACTTAAAAAAAATTTTAAAAAAAACCACGTTTTTCTTGTGGACTAAAAAGTAGAAAATAACTATTTACATACATTTGATGACAAAAAAACGTGGGTACGTTCACCATCAAATTTCCCGACCCATCTGCCCGACCCACGTTTTTTGTCATTAAATGTATGTAAATAGTTATTTTCTACTTTTTAGTCCACAAGAAAAACGTGGTTTTTTAAAAAGTTTTTTTTAAGTATTTTATTTTCTCCTTTTTAGTCCGTTGCTACACATGAAAAACGTGGTTTTTAAAAAAAGTTTTTTATATAGTTTATTTTCTACTTTATCCAATGACTTGATTAAGTATGACTTGACTAAGTGTTTATAAATACACGGACTAAAAATCTTGAGCGACCAGGATTCGAACCTGGGTTGTCGCGTCCACAACGCGAAGTACTAACCACTATACGATCACGGCCAGCGCGCTCACATCGATTGGGGCCGAAGTAACTGTGTCAATAGGCCTTCAATCTTGTCGGTATCTTTAGAAATCATGTCCTCAATTTTATGGTCCTTAGGGCGTAATTAAATTAAGCTAATTACGGTCTCTAATTGCTAGTTTTTATGATTGCATCTGAAATTGTTAGGCGAAAGTAGCCTGCATGCCAAATTTCAGATCTATAGAGCAATCAGAAGTGGGCTAATTTTCGATGTCAATTTTAACAACAAACACATCCACAAACGCGAAGCTGAGTTAATAAAAAAACGTGTTAATAAAAAGAAGAAACAAGAGCGTGGGGTGGTGTCTATAGAATAAAGATAATCCAACCGCAGCTACGGTAATTTTTTACAAAACAACCATCAAGTCAAAAATGAAAGAAAATTTACTTTTTTTTAACTATAAAATTTTTTATTATGGTCGGCTCTGGGCCCCTAAATGGCGTGCCCCCCCCCCCCCCCCCCGCATTGCGGGGTCTGGCGGCACTGTAGTTCCGCCCCTGCTGCCTGCAACTTCTGACTACCTTTAGGAAAAACGAGCCGACCCGCGGCGTATCATAAGCCGCTATTTAGTTGTTTTATTTTCTACTTTTCAGTAATTCAAAATTTGTGAATTCGACCGTACCAATGCTGCCACTGAAAATATTTGCTTTAAAACACTAACCCCGACCCTACCCCCCCCCCCCCCCCCCCGTGAAAGCAGCCTCCTCTTAGTTACCTCCTGTAAGTTTAAAATCGCTTCAAACTAAATTATCGGCCCCTAATAGCCGTCACTAAACCCGGCTCTATGATTTGTAAACATTTAGCGTGACCACAGCTCACCAGAGCATGTGGGGGTGGTAGTGATGCCTGGAAGAAACTCTGCTGACCACCACCAGAACACCTGACCAACATCAGACCACCACCAGCTTACCTGACCAACAGACCACCTGACCCCCTAAATACTTAACAACCAATTTTACGTGACAGGTCGGACCAATCAGCGTGGCTTTCGACGCTAGTTCGGAAAGCTTCAACAGTTACGGCGGTGGGGTGTATGATAGTGTGTAAAATCGATAGGTACACAGCGTCAGAGTTTCTTACAGGCATCTCTTCGGGTGGGGGGGGCGGGCAGAGCCCCCCTTAAAAAAGCCTACCGCCCCCCCCCCCCGAACGAAATTTAATAGAGAAAATATATACTTTTAACAGCGCCCCCCCCCCCCCCCCCTCGGAGAAAAGTCTGGAAGAAGCACTGCACATCGTCCACTGTTTCGGGACATTTGTGTGGGTAACTGCATACATCACTATAGGACTTTTGAGACAATGTGTAGTGAGGAGGAGGGTGTTAGAAGTGTACCACAGTATTTATTGTGTTTCTTTAATAAAAAAAAAAAACCCAATCAGTGAACACATTTTTTAAAAAGAATTAATCTAAATATCAAGTGGGGGAGGGGAGATAAAGTGAGTACTTTTGTGATATTTCCTAATGGTTGTCTGGCCTACGACCAGGTGATGAAATTCAGGTGGGGAGGAGGGAGTTGAGGGAACAAGTTGCAAAAAATAATAGTAATTTACGATGACACTCCTCTATACTGATCATATGGTTTAATAGGTTTTTATAGCCGAGGGTGTCAGTGAGGATAAGCCCCCACTGTGTTATAAAAGATCTGCAGCTCAAAGTCCCTGACAACCAACTCCAACATGAACAGGGCATTACCCCCCCCCCCCCCCAGATCATAGCCTAAGGTACAGTTTGGGATAGCACTAGGGTTAGGCTTAAATCAATGTCTAGGGTTGGGGTGAGTTTTAGACTGAGGTGAATGTTAGGTTTAGGCTTTTTCTTATGATTAGGATTAAGATAATATATAGGTATAGAGTTAGTCAGGATTCTTGAACTTGGGAGGGGGGGGGGGGATGGGAGAAAAATGTCCAGGGCCTTAAAGTCCTAGACTCAAGTCCAACACCTGTCCTGCTCGTACCTGCTTAGAGCCAGGGAAAAAAATGCTTTTTCTGACAGGGTGACAGCATGGACGGCAGATACCCGGCACCAAAAAGCCATTTTTTTTTTTGCAGCTTGGGCTCATTAGCCTAGTATGGCGATTCATCTAGTAGAGGGTCACTCTGGTTTTCAACCCTTGCTGCCTTGCGGTAACATGGCTTTTTAAAGTTAAAACGAGGAGAAAAATGGAGTGGAGCCTTGTAGGCGATAGAAATACCAGCATCTGGTTTCCTTTCAGCAGCTTCTGCCACCCAATTGATAGCAAATGTTATGCTTGCAATCCTTAGACCACACACTGGCAAGGTCGAGAGGGATCATGACAAGTGGGTAACACACAATCTCTTCATGTACATGCACAGTAGAGGAAACTGGTGTGCTGCTTCAAACAGCACAGGAGGCAACAGTAACAGGGGATCAGTCAATTCAACCAATCACAACAGTCAGTTCAAACAAAAAAAAAATTACAAAATTTTACTTCTCAGGGCGCTAGCATCTTTTGTCTTTTGAGACAAAAGAAGCAATACACACATAGACAATTTTTAACAAGCCCTTTAATCACTAATAAAGTAAAAAAAAAAACAACTATAAAAGAAATGTACTTCCATCAGTCTAGTTGGTTAATAGAGTAGAGTTCCCCCCTTTTTATGGTCCCACAGTTATGAAAGAGACACCAAGTCCAATCACCTCCCACTCTATTTTCATCAACATCAATCAGATAACACATCAGAACTTAAGCACACAATTTTTGGCTAGGTGGTAGTAGTTTCAGTTGCTACTAAACACAAATCCACGGATATATAAACATAAACTAATCCAAAGTGGAAACTTGAATTATTTGTAATACACATCAACATAATTCACTGAGAAAGTTTTATCAGAACAAGAATGGATAGTAAACCATTGCAAGGATATTCAATGATTTATTAGCATTAATTTGTTTATATGCAACATATTTGCTGACTATCATAAAAAAACAAATATACACCCCCTCCCCGCATAAACTAAAATTTGTGTTATTGATTCACTTTCAAGGGCCGTTGCTTCGTCGCATTTGATCCTGACAAGTCAGCAGCCTTTTGTTTGAGGGTGGCAGCCATCTTCAAATTCTTCTCCGTCCCATGTCCATATTTGTACATAAGGCTAAGATTGCTGCAACAGGCCACCATGCCAAGATTACAACCTTTCTGATTGAACTCAAATGCTTTTTTCAAGTCTTTGTCTACATGTTCCCCTTCCAAGTAAAACCCAGCTAAACTGAAACAAGCATCCTTACACTTGAGATCACAAGACTTATTGAGGAAGGTTAAACACTTTTCTATTTTCTTTTCTTCATCAGAGCCAGTTGAAAGTAACGCAAAACCAGCATTGTGGCACCCTTCAGCATAATTCATCTCACAGCTCTTCTCGAAATAATGGAAGGCTGACTTCAAGTCAGGCTTTTCTTCTGGCATACCTGGTTGAAAAAACAAATGTATAAGTTAAGAGGTCATCCATGTTTTAAGTCAACAAAAAGTACACATTTTAGATACTTCTTGTCAAAGTTGGATGTACTTTCATGTTGATCTCCACAAAAATGTAACCGTCTTTTCAAATCTTACTTCTTCTAATCTAATACAAAAGCATGTATTGTGTAAGCCGACCTTGCAATGGTAATAATGTATATCGGCCTACTAATCATTTTCATTAGTGTCTATTTAAATATTGAAAAAATAGAATCTTTAATGTGTTGAGCAATATGAATAAAATGTTTCAAAAGTAAAAGTATTTGTTGATGATTCTGATCATTTTAATACTATTTTCCTCTTATTAACCAAAACTGATGCAATACATTGTATTAAATTATTAAGCTAATTTTAATTGGAATGAGGAGAGGCAAGTTTTAATACTATAAAAATGTCTGGTTAAAAATATCACCTATTCCTTTAGCCAGGCAATTGCCATACTTAAAGCAACTCTCTGGGTAGTTGTTTTTGTCACAATTTTCTTTGTAAAGGGGGGCTGCTGTAGAGGGTTGTTGTCTTATAGTATACATAAAGTCTGCAAGCCTGTGGCAACCTATGAAGACAATGTGATAGCTTAGTTTCTCACTAAAACTTCTATTAAATATAAAAACCCACCCCTTGCACCAACACTTGACCCTTAAACTTCTATTACTAGATCTATCAGTAACATGCACCTATCATCAATCCTTGTAAAGCTTCCATTATGTTTAGAAGAGACAATAGAGATCTAGAATCTAGAGTAAAGTGGCGTCTGCGGACAGACGTAGCAAAAAAAATCGGAAGTGCCGATTTCCATTGAGCGCCATTCAGTAACCATTTCACATAGAAACAAACCGAAAGTACCGTCTTACTCCGCATTCTTTCTAGTTTAATCACGTCTGATTCATTTTGTATTCATACGCATAGCATTGAATGTATTAATATTTTCAGTGGTGAGACTCTGTGCGGACACTAAGAGCACTTTTTTTTACATTTTATTTTCTGTGCGCACACTTGCTCCTTATGCGGACAAGGCATATTTTGTTCATTTTGTTTCTATTTAAATGATTGTAATAAACATGTTACATACATAAATAGTGTTGTTGATAGTTTTATATATTAATATATTGGAAAACAAAAAATATGAAGAAATATGAAATAAGTTTTAATTAAATTAAAGTGATGCCTTTTACTTAAAGTGTAAGAAATATACTCTGATTTTTCATTAGTGTCCGCAAAAGGTTAACCCTCAAAAAAGGTATATCCCTTATGCGGACACCCCAATTTTTCCTCTAAGATGCTTAAACAACCTTAACTATGATATTTATTAGTATTTCTCGCTAACCCGGAGGCGTGGCCGGTTGCTAACAACAATATGGCGTACGGACCGGATGCATGACTTCCGACGATTTTTCTTCTTAATTCCAGAGACCTTCTTAGAATTACTTTTAAAAATGTTTATCACGAGTAAAATGGCGGGTTTTCACGCTATAAAAACATGCTATAGGTGGCAAGGCTAAATATGCCAGAAAAGCATTTTAAAATTTGCTTTGGAGAATGAAGGCTAAATTTATAAGTCGGTCTCATTAAAATTAATAGAACTTCTAAAATATCAGCCCGGAGGTCACAAAAATGAATTGGAGGTTGTAGAACTATTAGGTTTATCATTATATGAAGAAATAAATCAAATATTGCATGCGCTTTTTAAAATAAGACACGACTTTTGAATGACAACCAAATTTATTTATTTTTTTAAACCACGTGACCGCTATTTGATGATCACTAGTGGGGAACTTCGGGTACATGACCACTTAAAAAGTCTAACTTATTTGTGGTTTTCTTTAGCTTCAAGCGTAAGAAGAGTTGTCATGGAGAGGTGTGTTGTGCATTTTTGTGAGTGTCAATAAATATTAAATTAAGTAATTTCGTTTAAAATGAACTAAAACGTCAAAATTAGTGCCTAATGGATTAAATATGGATGTCTATCATTCAGTAGTCATGTTTAATTTGAAATTTGGGTAAATTCTAGATTTAGTAAAAAAACTAATATTTATAGCTTTCTATAGGCCTATATATATAAGCTATTTATATTTAACCCAGTTAACTAAGCTATGATTGGTTCGATTTATTCCTCTAATCCGGGGACTAGTGGTCTTCATCCGGGTGAGGTTCCCTACATAAAACGTCATACATCGCAACTTTGAAAAATTCCAATTAATCTCCCTATTATTGAATGAAATAGAAGAAATTGACTCAGATGTGTTTAAAAAAAAAAATGGACATGCTTTGTGTTGTTTGCGTTACTTTCGTATAAAACATTCATACAATTATTGTTTAAGTGAAAACGGCAAGGTGTCCACACAGAGGCAACTGTCCGCAGACGCCACTTTACTCTAGGTGTAGCCAGACTAAGACCTATCCTATGGAGTATGCTATGGCCTAGTATTAAACTAGATCTAGATCTAGATCTAGTAATAGTCTAGAGAATTAATTAATTAGACAAGCTAGCTATTCGAGTCAGATCAAGATTTAGAATCTAGATCTAGCTCTAGAAGAAAAAAGGGAATCTATCTTTTTAGGTAGAATCTAAGGCTACGCTAAGTAAAATGGACAGAGGCTAGATTCTAGACTAGATCTAGACTAGACATGCAGTTAACAACACACGTAACACTACTGTCAGTTCTAAAAACTAGATTAGTAAAAACTAAAAAGACTTGAGAGTGGACTACCATCAGGTTCTTTTTGATCTAAACATTGGAATTGGTATTCTATTTGAATATCTCGTAAGTATTCTTTAACTCCTTCGTCAGTTGTCAAATCGTAAGCCATGATTACACTTTTTAAAAATATTTGTCTATTTCTTCATCTAGAGATTCTAGAACTAAAACACGGCTAGTACAATGTCACCGGTAGCCCACCGCAAGGTAAAAACAGCTATTTGCACATTCAAAGTTAATTTTAAAATAGCTCGAAGATTGACCTATTTTTGAAATTCTTGGAATTAGTTGGAAAGCAAAACTGGGCCAAATCAAAACAGAAAAATTGTAGGCCTACAGATAGCCTAGTATATTATCTGACCATAGGCTATGATATATAGAACTAAGTATCTTTCCGTGCCTAAGTAAAAAAAAAAGATTATAAAAGTTAAAATTTTATTTTTAGCATCATATTTTTTCCCAACATTAAAAAGCACAATAAAAAATGTTACCCCCCTCCCTCCCGTTACGCTTGCACTCTATATTAGACTTTCTAAAGTAACCCGATAATAGTTTGATAGTTTAATACATCTTGATACCATGAAAAATTATTGAGGAGTTATCAATAAATAGTCCTACATCTATAGAAGTGAGTCGAGGTAGATGAATAATGAATTGGAAACGATAATTGAGAAGGTCGTGGTTAAGAAAATTATGCGCAATATAAATAAGTAGGCTACTTCAAATAACCATCAATAAAAATAATAATGTGTTGATTTTAATTATAATTTTAGGTTATATATATATACATATTTATTTATTTAGGCATACGACACACTCTTCAGCTAATCGGGGTGTTATATGACCTATGTCTTTGGGCTCAGAGTTTCTTCCAGGCATCTCTTGGGGGGGGGGGGGGGGAGGGACTCTGCCCCCTCCCCCCGAACGAAATGAAATTTATAAAGAAAATATATACTTTTAACAGTGTCCACCCCCCCCCCCCCCCATAAGAAAGTCTACGTCCCCCCCCCTCCCCGAAAATTTAAAGTGCCCTCCCGCCGTAGAAAACATAATGATTAATAAAATTTGCTCAATACCATCTCGCCCAAGCCTAGAAGAAACCGTTTTTTTTTGTATTGGGGAGGGTTTGTGAGACATTTTGTGACGATAAAGTCAGTCATAAAGGGGAATGAGGCGGGGTAAAAATATTTTGTGGACGACCCTTAGCCCTAAAAGCAAAGTAAATATAACTAGATCAAACAGTATCAATATTGAAGCGTAGCTACAGATCTAGATCTAATTAATTAAAAAAATGTGTTGATTCATTATTTCCCTTTGAATTGAATTAAGTGTTTCAACTGTTTCAACTAAATTTAAATTTTAAAAGTATAATTAGATCTATCTTAATTAAAAGTATGCCTATTGTTTATTGCATACCATCTGAAGCGTTAGATAGTAACATAACTTAAGACTATTTTTTTCTGCTGTAAGTACAATTTTATAAATTGATTTTATGAATTTAGTGACAATAATAAATAATAATATTAATATTAATAAGTCTTCCAGATGGGGCTTAACACAAATGCGCATATAGCTCTAACAATAGTTGTGTGTAGCTTTTGCCCGTAACTTCTGCGCATGCGTGGTTTATTGATGGCAAGTTAAGAGATTGGGAAACTAGCGACATCATCTTGTTTACATCGCAGTTTGCTTCGTTTGCAAGACGATCGCACCATAGTTTCGAACGAAATATTTAATGGTAAGTTGTTCTCTTAGATAATTTTAACAATTAACAGAATATAACTTAGAATTCGTTAAATTGTTTTTGTAAATTTATTTTTATTAGCCTACTTCTTAAAAATATGTATGAAGATGAAAAATGTAGGTTAGTCTGATCTGGAAGTGGAAGGGAATTTTTTTTGCCCTGATTACAACTGAATGGTATTCTAGAATCTAGACTTCTCAGGTTCAGAAAATACATTGTTATTAGGCCTGGATGATACTTCAAAGCGAAAATCTTAAATCTGCTAATGCTAAAATTGAAATTATAGATGCAAAATCGAAGTGAATCTTCTAAAAAAATACCCCAGCTTTAAAAAAAAAGATGGAATGGAAAAGAATGTCCGAGTGTATTAAGTTCTTCGATCCGACTAGCAAGTGCATGACCTGAATTTTATTTATAGATGTAGAGGTCTAGATCTAGATCTAGATCTTCTAGTCTAGGTTTTAGTTTGTTGATGGACCTATATCTAGTAGTTCTATAGATCAAGATTCAAGTTAGCTAAAATAGGCATTAGGTTAGGCCTACTTATTTGTTTTTGTACAAAACTGAAAAAGGAAGTAGAATTCTAGATTTTAGAGTTTAGTTAGGCCTAGGCCCACTTATTCTACTTATTTTTAGTTATTACTTCTATAGCCTACTTAATTTATAACTTAAACTAGGCTTTTTGATGAGAATTACAGAATGATTTTTTTATTAAAAATGTATCAATAATAGCTAGAACACTAGTAAACTAAGCTAATTTAGCATATTTTAACTTTCTGTGCAAAGTCATTATTACTGAAAAAAATTCCAAAGTCAGGTCAGCCTGTGGCACCCTCCACTGAACTTGACAGAAGGAAAAAAAACTTGACCCGTGACCCTCATTAAAACAGAATTTGCTTTTGTTTTATTTTTTATTTTTAGTAAACATGTGCTTTATCTTACCCAATAAGTGATAAAAATTTGAAAATTAATTTTAATTACTGTTGTAAAGTGAGATAAACAACTTAATAAACATGTGTTTTCTTGAGGGGGTGTGACCCGGGTGTGTCACATCGCAATTGGAACTTTATATTTCTGTGTTTTATGACTATATTTGTTTACAATTAGCATGCTATGCTTTTAATTTTGATAAAGGGTAAGTATACCAAGTTACAAAATCTGCAATCTAACTAATAATTCATACTTTCAGTTTAAAAAATAATAAAAACGATCATCAACGAAGAAAGCGTAAACATTCTATTTTTAGGTGTGACATAAAAAAACAGTCATAAATCTAGCCAAATGATTGGATTCTTGCGCGGCACACATTTTCCCGCGCCTCGTTTTCACCAAACAAGATTATAATAAAATGGCATTATTGGGGGTGATCGTTTTCCCACGAACACATCTCATAAACCCAAGAAATTATTACCAGTTAATTGTAATGTGTGTTAAATTAATAGTTTAAAGTTTTCAAGGAACATAGGCTGGGTTCCAAGGAATGCGATATTTCAGAGTTATTTGATTTAAAAGACAATAATACATAGAGCTATTTTCACTTACGTGCCGCTTGCGAGACAAAGAAATTAGGTCAAAAGTACATCTGGGAATTCTTAAATATCAGACTGAAATAGAAACGGATAGTTCCGTTTTCTAAAATTAACTATGGCATCGTAATCAATAGTTTTATCCCTCTACCGTTTAGAGAAAGCGAAACTGGTCGCCATTTTAGTAAGCCCATGAGCAGTGAGATGCCACGAAAATGACAAACCCGGAAGTGTTGAATCGAACGGCCTACTTAAACTAAATCTAGTACTATAACAAGTAGGCCTATACCTAAATATAAATATAGAAAGTAGGAGAAGCCTAATGAATGACACAGGTCTTTGGATGAAGCAGACTGTATTTGAATATCAATGTATGACCAACAGGTATTTTTAACTGCTTTTAAAAATATAATCTGGATCAGACTCTTACAGCCATTGTTTCTTTTTAGTTACAACTAAAGTTATTATCCACTAATTAATGTCTTAATTTTCATTTTACCATCAATTTTAAGAATTTGACCATAATATCTACAGTTCAACCAAGAATTATTATTTCATTCACAGGTTTCGCTTTACTAATGATGATTATCGTGAGTGAAAATTAAGCATAGTGCAACTCAGTTGAGAGAAGATTTTTTTCAGTCAGTATCACTATATTATCATCATGACTGCTTATACTAAGGAATTCGAAAAGTGGCTTAGTACGGCCAAGAATGAAACAGACATGGAAGATGATGAGGAAGATGAGGATCCTCAAAACAGCCACCAGTTTCATGATAATGAAAATGATGATGGAGATACAACTGGAGAAGACAGTTCCCAGGGCAGCTTTGTGGAACTGAAGACAGCAGAAATTGTTGTTCCTTGTGAGAAGGCCCCAATATTGGTGGATGATGATGATTTGTCTGACAATGACAATCAATTTGAGGATGAACCACCAATACTTGAGCCTGTACAGAAGCAGCCAGCTAGTAGGCGGATTAGTAAGACTGGGGATGGGAAGCACTCTGGTCCGATGCGCAACTATAGCAGGAACAACCAAACTTACTCTAGACAAAGGTCATTGCAGGAGCACCAAAGCTTAGCTAAATCAGACAGTAAAGAAAAACTGAAACCAACTCTGTCTGATGACTATGAGAAGAGGCAGCGTAAAAGCTCTGTAAAGTCTAAGGAAAGTAAAGAAAGTGGTAATATATTTGATAAGTTTATGTCAGAACAGTATGACAGCCCTCCTCCCCTCATCCCAAGCCCTGAAGCATTACGTCTCACTTCTGAAGTACAGGTTTCAGAAACAAAGAATCAAGGAAGTCCAGATTTTTGTGCCATGGAGGCAGATTCAACTTCTGAAATCATCAGCGACAGCTGTGTATCTCACTCACAACCCAAAAATTATGGCGACCTTCTAGAATGTGATAGCACCTGCATGCTAGGGGCATCACCTGTCACAGTGTCACCTGCTTCTGTATCAAATATAGAATGTGAAGAAGTGAGAGACTCAGGTGGGGGTATATGCAACGATGGTAGTGTTGATACTGCTAAAATGGCCACAGGTGAAGATAACATTGCCAAATCTCTCTGTGCTCCAGCTAATGACAAGTTGTCCTCTGGTGTTAAAAGTTTTTATCCTGACCAGTCTCCTGGCATCACCCCAACATTCCACAAAGAGGTAAACATTGACATTGATAACCTTGAGCCTCCAACCCTGACTGTCATCTCTCCACTTCTCAGTTCGCCAATAGTTTCTCGTAGAAAAAGACATACAATAGACACCCCAGAAACATATTCAAGAATGTCGAAGAGACGCACATTAAATTCCCCAACTTTGGAACAAGAAGACATTTCTTCCCCACCGTTGCTCAAAAATTCAAAAGAGTTGACGGCCCCTATTTCACAGCTTGAGAAAAAGACACAGGCTGAGAGAAGCAGCCATTACCCAAAGAGACAGAGGTGTCACACTGTGCCATCAGATCACCCTCACCACCTAGAGAGCTTAGACACATTTGTAGCCAACACATTGAAGTTGTCCACACTGCAGACACGCATGCACGCACTTCTCAAACAGCTTTTCCCACAGATCAGGCAGGAGCTTGACTCCATCAGCCCAGAGTCACTCGGCTTCACTGACCTGATGCATGAACTGGTCCTGTCTCTGCAGCACACACACAAACCTCCACTGCCAGAAAGTCTGGCTCCGACACCATGTAAAGACACACCACCAGAGGACAGCTCTCAAAGACTATCGTCACCGCCTGGCAGTTTCAAGGCAGCCTCGTCAGATGCTTGTGACGAGTTGATGAGAAACTCTCACCGCTCTTATACGTCCTCCAAGGCCAACTGTGATAGCAAGCAGCGGAAAGGTGGGTGTCACACCACACATAAAAAACACAACACAGACGAGCCAGCTGGTGGGGATTTAGGAATCTCCAAGTTGTCCCTCAAAGATCAACTGGAGAGCATCAGGCCAGCCCAAGTCATTCTGTCCAGGGACCCCGCATCAGTGCAGTTGGATAAGTTCATTCAAATTTCTTGTAAGGCTCTGCAGCTGTTGTTGCCAGATGTGGCAGTGAGTTTGAAGAATGAGCTGGCCTTCTCCCCACAAGACCTCCTGGTTTTTATAGACAATGTCATTTTATTTAACTCCAGGAAAAGACTTTAGCCAACCTATGTCGGATATGTTTTTTCAGTTATATAATAACCACTTTGAGTGAGCAATTCGTTTTTTTGAAGTGATATATATATATTGAAACTAGTGTTTGCTGTTTAGATACTTCACTTTTAGTCTACTTGTTTCACACATTTTTCAAGTCATATATACAACGATACACCCTGTGTTAATTAAAAATTTCTTTTCTTAACATAACCTTTGATAGTTAATTTCTTTAATATTTATATATTTGACATAAAAACTTAAAAAAAAATTAATTTACATAATTTTTCTTTTAATTATTTCTATAATTTGGATCTTATAATTTACGTTACCTTTTACTTAAAGTTAAAGCCGGTGTAGATTTATCCTATTGAAGATAAACTTGTGCCTGTTAGTGCTTTGTTTCTATCCTTCCTACCATTTTGCCAACATCAGTTTGCTTCCCTTATTCTACATTTTTCTTCTACAATCGATTAATTTCCTTTCTTTAAATTACCATTTTTACAATACACAAACATGTTCTGTTATTATGAGAACTTGTGACGAGTGATCGCAGGTGTTCTCTAAATAATCCTTCAACCTACCTGTTGGTGATTGCTACACTATCATTCCCACCAGCTAATACATTGTGTGGATACAATGCTCCTAGTGCCTTTAGCTAAAGTGCTCCTGTAAAAACATCAAGTCCATAAGTCCACAGCACCCTGATGGTAAATTAACGAACCACCTGCCAGATTATTCACCTGGTGATCAGCAAACCATTTCTTAATCCTACCTGTTGATTAATGTCTTGACCTTTTTAAAAACATATTTTTTTATTTCCTTTGAGATTTATCTCACTTTAGATTGACTTAATTATATCATGTCTGTTAAACAATAAATCAATACTTTGTTTAGCACCTTATAGATTGTTAATATTTTCTTGTTCTTTGTAACATTCTTGCACATTAGTTCTTTATTCTATTCCTATCAAAAACATTTAATCAGATACAGAATGGTTTTGATTTGTGTAGTATGTTCATATTAACATATGAAACCACTAGTCATGTAATGTAATGACTTGTATGTAACTGTACATCAAACGAAAGTCTCAATATAAACCAGTATGTATTGGTGTTATGTATTTTAAAAAATAACGTTGGGATATATATTATTTTGTTCAATACGTAGATATTTAAAAAATGTAGTTTCAAGGTTTTCACATTTTTTTTTACATTCTCTAAAATTAAAAAAACATACTGTTTTGTTGTTTGTATTTTTATGTATGAATTTTTTTTAGGTTTTTGTGATTTTCAATTATTCTATTTTAATGGGATTTTTTTGTGTTAACTTTTGACTATAATTTCTATTCTTGATTGTTTTTTCTAATGTAGAAATTTGAAGTTTGTGTAATTTGTACAAATATTTATTGTTTGTAGAAATTTATTTAAAAAAAAAACAACTTTCATGAACAAAAAACCAATTTCTTGTGGCACCTTTCTATCAATGATGTGTAAAGAGCAATAATTTTTTTAATTAGAACATACAAAGACTTAAAATTGTTGTTCCGTAATAATTCTAGTGATGCAGTTATTAAACAGTAGTAGTCATACATTTATATTCATAAATTAAAATAAAATAGAATGATCGTACTACTAATACTAAAATACTTAATTGCATTCAATCAATTTTCGTATTTCAATATACTTCAAAACATCTTTATACTTCGGTATTTCTAATGGTACATTTGCTTACAAAGTAGAGCTAATATATTATTAATATATTAAAAATATAAAAAATATTTAAATGCCTACTACTACAACAACAATCCTTTTTTGCATAAAATCAACGTTCTTACTGAAATATACTTAGCTATGCAGAGAAATGTTTTCCTAACATCAAAATTTCTAATTTTAATGTAAATTTTGATACCTTTGTGATTATAATTGTAAATAAGTTCTACTATAAGAAATGTTAGTAATTTTTTCTTATAGTTAGATGTTTCCATGTATCAAAACTTCAAAATTGTATATAAAATAACTGGGTTCAACAGTTTTAATATTTGATGGGAGATCTAATCCAGAAGAGATTAGTTACTGCACACAAATTCTTTTTTTTTACTTCACAAAAGCAGACTATTTAAAAAAATGTGTACAGCTAATTTTGCTATAGGACACCTGATGAAAAAAAAAATAACATGAATTGTTGTACTTTCTTTAATTGTGATATTCTTGAAGCTGTTATAACAATTTGTTATTGTTGTTGTTGGGCTTGTACTGTTATACTTTTTATGCAGATGTTGGATTTTGTTTTTTATGGGATGTACGTCATTCACAACTAATGCAACAATTCTGGCAATAACCCTGTCCTGGCTAGGCAATCAGCGTATGTCAATCAATTACTGAGGTTTAACGTGTGATTGGTGTGTGGTCATTTTTGACCATCTGTTGGGTCAAATGGTTTTGTGGTCTGTGTCCAGTGAAATCACCATCATTTGTTGACTAGCGCAGTTGTATTGGCTGATGTGGAAATCAGGCTGGTTATTTATTTTGTTATGATAAATAATTGTTTTGTTTTTGGATTGGCCAGTGTTTAGTCAGATAATTAAATACGTTAGTCTTTAGCTCATCATCATATGTCATATGCCAGTGTTCAAGCTGACCACTTGTGTTGTCATGTCGCTGTATTAGCTAACCACCAATTAGATGTTCATGTTGTGTTTTAGATCCCCCACCAAATGGCTTCAACAGAACCAACCTGTTATCTAAGGCAGTCTTTAAGATCCCAACCATATGTTTAATCAGCTCACCAATTCTTATTTGGCAGTGTAATCTCATGGTGTGCCAATGTTGAGCGCTGGCTGTTTGAATGTTGATTTCTGAGTCTTGTCAACACTGTACTTAATTCTGGATGATTGTTTAGTTCATGATCTATTTGATGATGGAGTTAATTTTAAATTTGATGATGAAGTATTAACCAGAAGGCAGTGTGTCAGGTATGTAATTTTATTGATACTGTTTACTGTTATTATTCTGTACTGCCAGTTAGCACACCATCACCCAACATTAAGAACCGTTTTCGTCCAGTTGGTTTGTTAAAGGGTTATACAAGAGTTATCTCCCTACAATTTAGTCAGTTTGTTTTGAATAAATTGAGGTTTTTTCTTGCCACATTTTAGATTGTCTTTTTCACTGAAATTGAGTTTTATAATATAAAAAATACTCAGCTTGCTAAATTTACTGAAATTTTATTTTATGTTAAAAAATAAGCATTAGTCTTGTTTCATAAATAGATTGAAAATTAATGATTTTTAAGACTATTTCAGCTCAGAATGAATAACAAATGTACCACTAGTACTCCTTACCATTACATACATTTTTTTTTCTATTTAAAATCTATGCATCAAAGTTAGCTAGAGGTGTGAGTGATAAATGGCTCGTGGTGTGTATAGACTCCTATTCTGTGCAATACCTAGATACTTGTTGACCAAAAGCAGCTAACATACCAGATAAAAAGTCCATAATTTGTTGCCATTTGTTTTTTCCTCATTGTCTATCACCATTTAGGCTGTTGTTCCAGTATTGGGGCATCTGGATGGTATAATTGAGCTAAATTGTTTATGGCTAGGATATTTCACGAACTATTTTCTGTGTGAGACTGGTTGGTCGGCTGGGTAGAGTGATTGTGTGATCAATACATTAGTGATTGATCATTTGTAGTATATTTCATGAAAAGACCTGCCCATATGCTGGTTCCACTAATATGTACTTTGCTACCCAACATGCTGCTTGTGTATGTTTGTCAAAGATAAAGGAGTATGCACATTTCATCTTTGATATTTTTTTCTCACTTGAATTCATGTTTTTTTTTTAAGATTGGGATTATTTACTTCATTATTACAATGTTAATATGAATTGCATGTCATGTTTTATACTAGGCATTTAAAGATTTGTGATACTATGGTATAAGGACAATCTCTTTGGACATTTTTATTTTCTGCTTTCTTTCTCTACATTTCCTTGTTGTACAGTCAAACCATTTTCCACACAAGTTTAAAATTACTTAAAGCTGTCTAACAGCTAGCCTGGAAGTATGAAGTTTTGTTACCAAGTTATTTGACTTGTGATCAGGAACACTGTCAGTTCTGGTGACTACCTCCCCTTGTTATCAATGGTGAGGGTCTGGATGTAAAATAGAAAGAGCTGTCTCTCCAAATGAAATGAAATTCATTTTTCTTGCCAAGTTTCGGTATCCTTTTACTACCAGGTTATACAAGATCCTAATCTTCAAATATTTTTCAGTGTTTTAAAAATGTTGCTTACGTTTGAATTAAAATGTTTGACTTTAAATATTTGTTTCACTGGTTTGACATGTAGTCATAAGGCTTGCAACATTGTCTTGAAATTCAGGAAACTATGTTTAAGCTATCACCTTTTGTATGTTTTATTATATTTGCATGACATTTTATTTTCTAGGTGGCCATACATGTATGTTTAGACACCCCTCCCCTCTAGTGATCATACATGTATATTTAATCAGCCCCCCCCCCCCCCCCCACATTGAAACACATTCACAGCTATAAATCAAAATGGATTACCTTCCCACCAAACTTGACATTGAATGTTAGTTTATAACTGCTGTGTGTTGTTCTATTGTTTAACTATAGTTGTGTCTTGCTGTATTGGCTACAAAAATTATTTCTATGCTTGAAGTAGTTTGTGGGTTGTTTTTTTTTTTTTTTACATGTAAACTATGTTAAGTATTTTCCATTATTTTTTGTTTGATTAGGTTCAGTGTCTTGGTGTTAAGTACTTTATTTTTGTTTGTTTTGATGTTAACCCATTTGTTGTTTGAATGCAATGTGTATTCACCCTAGATAGAAGCTCCTTAATGTTGCTGTACTACATCTGTTAACATTTCCTAACCACTGATTTATTTAATGATACACCTGATCCCTGTCATTATTGGTTATTGTGAACATATTGTCTACCTGTAAGCTCACTTGTGTGATTGACCTATCTGTGTGTTACATAATGTCAGCATCCACCTGTACATAAACACCTGACCTATTCTAGTACGACTATTGCAATGTCCATCTTCTGTCCACTTTTGGTGAACAAATAATTTATGCTCTATGATTAATAAAACATTATGGTTCCATTGATAGCTTGGCTGGTGTTGTTTTCATGCGTGAGGGTGTGTTTGTGTTGTGTGTGAGTTGGTGGTGTGTGGGTGATATGGTGTTAATGGGGTGGTTGTGTTTTGGTGAGGTGTGAGGTGGTGCTAATATGGTGTGGGTAATGTGTGAGGTAGTGGTGGTGTGTGAACGTTTTGGTGATGTGTGAGGAGGTGGTAATATGGTGGTGTTATGTTGATGTGTGATGTTTGTCACACAGTGGTTTCAGGGTGTGGTTGTCACATAACTAATTTGTAAAGCGGCGATATTTATGTATGTCGCACCACGATGTTAATGGGGTGATTTTAAGCTTGTCACATGTATGAGTTTTTTATATACTTAGTTTATTTACTGTAAACTTGGACTGCCAGAATGTTTAGACCCGTATGTAACAAAGAATAATTATTACAGTATCCATCTTTCTTTTGAAGTTCTATTTGAGTAATTTAACGGTTACCGCCCTTATCATTGAACAGTTACATGTCTTCACAATATTAACTGCAGTTGTCGTTCCTGCGAGCCAATCGCCCCATATAAGAAATGCATGGATCACTACAAATACAATTGATATAAATAGCAGGGTCACCACAGGTCACACACCTTTATATTTCCTCTGAAACTAGTCAATGCTTTTAATATTCAGCAGGGAAAAAATATTCAGTCGAGATAAAATGTCATGAACTGGCTATATGGAATGTCAGTTTTAGATCACTTGAGTTCTCCTCTCAGCAGCCGTTTATCAGCTTCACAATCAGGAATATACGAGTGACCTCCCCTACAAATGGCGGCCTCCCACACATACGGCCCCTAGTGCTCACGGAAATACATCGCTGTACGGCTGATTGTGTGAAAGACGCTCACTTTAGTGTATCAATGTTACGATCATACGTCTCGTAACCAATCTAGTCCTACATTTGTCCTTCAAAACTCTCTTTAAGGAAAACTGGAAACGGTGGAATGGCTGGAAGTCGTTCCTTGTTCAGTTTGTTGAAACCTCCAATTGTGGCCATTCTGGGAACTGACCGCATCTATGACAAGCGGCATATTACTCTCAAATTTGCAACTATAATGTTCTATCCAGAGGCGTAGCGACCCTTCCCGGCACCCCCCTCAAACTTTCGATTTGCACCCTCCCTCAAGATATCGATTAGCACCCCCATTAAACTTACGATTTGCACTCCCCCCCCTCAAACTTTCGATATGCACCCTCCCTCAAGATTTCGATTTGCACCCCCCCCCCCCCACACTCAAACTTTCCATTTACACACCCCCCCCCCCACTCAAACTTTCGATTTGCACCCCCTCAAGCTTTCATTTTTATTTTTCCAACCCATTTTGGCGCCCCCTAAGGTCGGCGCCCGGGGACATATGTCCCCCCCCCCCCTCGCTACGCTACTGGTTCTATCGAGTTCAGGCTTTTTGGCCGAACTGTATACTTACACAGAAACACGGCTGGGAATATTCAAAACAAACTTGTTGTCATTGGATGAACTGTCCTTCTCTATGACAATTCGCATAATATTGCTAGCAAGTGTGCACATATAATGTTCTATCAAGTTCAGGCTTTTTTGGGCCAACCAGTATACCTACACAGAAACACGGCTAGGAATATTTAAAAAAAACAAACAATTTTTTGAATGACAATCTTTAAGCGAACGTACACGAAGTTTAAAAATATTATTTTATCTCATCCCCACTAGTCTTCCTCGTCTGATTTGTCTGTGTCCTCTTCATCTGAACTTTTCTCCTTCTTGAAGGTTGGGAAAAGGCTCAAGCGCTTCATCAGGCTCGACTTCTTCTCCAGAGTTCCGCCCTCCTCCGTCTTCTCCCCTTCGTGGGGGTCCACACTGCTTCCAGAGTTGACGGCGGTCGACGCCCCGGACGATCCGCTGCCCTTTTCTGATTTCCCGCCTTCTGCAATACATCGTTTGGGTCACGTGGTGTCAGGTAACATTCATGGGACGGCGTGGTCGGATCAGAGGCGTAGCGACCCTTCCCGGCGCCCGGGGACAATCTTTCGATTTGCACCCCCCCTCAAACCTCAAACTTTCGATTTGCAACCCCCCCTTTCGAACTTTTGATTTACACACCCCCCTCAAACTTTCAATTTGTTTTTCCAACCCATTTTGGCGCCTCCCTAAGGTCGGCGCCCGGGGACGTATGTCCCCCCCCCCCTCGCTACGCCTCTGGGTCGGATGACTGTTAACCCGAATGTTTCAAGTTCGGATTCCGGGGCAATGAGTTTAGCCCTGGAACGAGTTGGGTAAAGGCGACTGGGCATAGTGCTGGCACACTATCCTGTCATATGCAGAGGGTCACATGAACAGATGAACTCTACTTTATCTAAGCAATTGACAGCCCGGTTTGAAAGTGTAGCATGTTTACTACTTAAAAGTAACATTAGAGTGAAAAAGAATTTTTTTTTCATGTAATAGAAACAAAGGTAAGTAACCTTTTTTTCCAATGAGGTTATCACTTTTTACGAGCAGGGGTTTTCCCATACTTTTTACACGAGGTGGAAACAGGGGGGGGGGGGGGAGGAGGGATAGGCAAAAGACGACTTAAAGGGGGTGTGGTATGGCGGACAATGGTTAAAGTATATATTTTCTATTTAAATTTCATATTTTTACTGAAGGAGGTGGGGGGGGGGGGGTGAGACAGAGAAGGGTCCTCCACAGGGCGATGTAAGTACTCATAGTCTCTCTGCAGGAATCCCTGACTCTACTTACGAGTACATTTTGATTACGTATTGTTGTTAAACGCTACACGATAAAGACTTTTTAAAAAGTCATTTAAATATTACTTACCCTTTTTACATTTACATAAAGTATGTTTTAAAAAACTAATCCCTCCTTCATAAAGATATGCCCCCCCCCCCTCTGCCCGCTGACGTCACGATGCCCACAGTTCCCTGCACTAGACTCTCACCTGCCTCCTCATGCACAACAGCTTTCTTTTGCTGTCTCCGTTTGCACTTGTCGTAGCAGATGAAGTAGAAGATACAAAACAACAGGAAAATCCCGAGGGCCAAGTAGAAGGCGGCCACACCGGAAATGATGGAGTCGGCGTCAACAGTGACAGCTGGAGGGGAAACAGTAGCAAACTGATGGTCTATACATACAGTTGGTCTATACATACAGCTGGTCTATACATACAGCTGGTCTATACATACAGCTAGTCTATACATACAGGTAGTCTATACATACAGTTAGTCTATACATACAGCTAGTCTATACATACAGCTAGTCTATACATACAGATAGTCTATACATACAGATAGTCTATACATACAGATAGTCTATACATACAGATATTCTATACATACACCAAGTCTATACATACAGCAAGTCTATACATACAGCTAGTCTATACATACAGCTAGTCTATACATACAGATAGTCTATACATACAGATAGTCTATACATACAGATAGTCTATACATACAGATATTCTATACATACACCAAGTCTATACATACAGCAAGTCTATACATACAGCTAGTCTATACATACAGCTAGTCTATACATACAGCTAGTCTATACATACAGCTGGTCTATACATACAGCTAGTCTATACATACAGCTAGTCTATACATACAGTTGGTCTATACATACAGCTGGTCTATACATACAGCTTGTCTATACATACAGCTAGTCTATACACACAGTTGGTCTATACATACAGCTGGTCTATACATACAGCTAGTCTATACATACAGCTAGTCTATACATTAGTCTGTACATACAGTTGGTCTATACCAGGGGTCTCCAAACTTTTCAGTCCGAGGGCCGCATTAACTATCAATTTTCAGATCGGGGGGCCATTTAGTTCCAGACATGTCTTTGATTTTTCTGGACAAAGTTCCTCAGCCATCATCAACAAACGTTTTTTTCGTGGACAAAAATATCTCCGCGGGCCGGATGAGAGGACCTCGCGGGCCGCATCCGGCCCGCGGGCCGTAGTTTGGAGACTCCTGGTCTATACATACAGCTAGTCTATACATACAGGTGGGCTATACATACAGTTGGTCTATACATACAGCTGGTCTATACATACAGCTAGTCTATACATACAGCAAGTCTATACTTACAGTTAGTTTATACATACAGCTAGTCTATACTTACCGTTGGTCTATACATACAGGTGGGCTATACATACAGCTGGGCAATACATACAGCTAGTCTATACATACAGCTAGTCTATACATACAGCTAGTCTATACATACAGCTGGGCAATACATACAGCTAGTCTATACATACAGCTAGTCTATACATACCGTTGGTCTATACATACAGCTAGTCTATACATACAGGTGGGCTATACATACAGCTAGTCTATACATACAGCTAGTCTATACATACAGCTGGGCAATACATACAGCTAGTCTATACATACAGCTAGTCTATACATACAGCTGGGCAATACATACAGCTAGTCTATACATACAGCTAGTCTATACATACCGTTGGTCTATACATACAGCTAGTCTATACATACAGGTGGGCTATACATACAGTTGGTCTATACATACAGCTAGTCTATACATACAGTTAGTTTATACATACAGCTAGTCTATACATACAGTTAGTTTATACATACAGCTAGTCTATACATACAGATAGTCTATACATACAGATAGTCTATACATACAGATAGTCTATACATACAGATAGTCTATACATTAATCTGTACATACAGCTAGTCTATACATACAGATAGTCTATACATACAGATAGTCTATACATTAGTCTGTACATACAGCTAGTCTATACATACAGATAGTCTATACATACAGATAGTCTATACATTAGTCTGTACATACAGCTAGTCTATACATACAGCTAGTCTATACATACAGCTAGTCTATACATTAGTCTGTACATACAGCAGGTCTATACATACAGCTAGTCTATACATACAGATAGTCTATACATACAGATAGTCTATACATACAGATAGTCTATACATACAGATATTCTATACATACAGCAAGTCTATACATACAGCAAGTCTATACATACAGCTAGTCTATACATACAGCCAGTCTATACATACAGCTAGTCTATACATACACCTAGTCTATACATACACCTAGTCTATACATACAGATATTCTATACATACAGCTAGTCTATACATACAGCTAGTCTATACATACAGCTAGTCTATACATACAGATAGTCTATACATACAGATATTCTATAGATACAGCTAGTCTATACATACAGCTAGTCTATACATACAGCTGATCTATACATACAGCTGATCTATACATACAGCTAGTCTATACATACAGCAAGAATGAAAAACAACAGCAAAGTTACAGCCAGAGCATCCAGCTAAAATACTGTCAATTTAAGGCAGATACAGATATTTTGACTCAGATTTTGGTTCACTACAAAATGCTGACTTAGCCACTAGTATCAGATTTAAGGCCGATACATATATCTTGACTAATAGTAACCTGTAAGGCTGATAAAACTGTCCTGACTTACTGTCACACAAAGGCCGACACAACTATCCTGACTTACTGTCACACAAAGGCCGACACAACTGTCCTGACTTACTGTCACACAAAGGCCGATACAACTGTCCTGACTTACTGTCACACAAAGGCCGATACAACTGTCCTGACTTACTGTCACACAAAGGCCGATACAACTGTTCTGACTTACTGTCACACAAAGGCCGATACAACTGTCCTGACTTACTGTCACACAAAGGCCGACACAACTGTCCTGACTTACTGTCACACAAAGGCCGACACAACTGTCCTGAATTACTGTCACACAAAGGCCGATACAACTGTCCTGACTTAATGTCACACAAAGGCTGATACAACTGTCCTGACTTACTGTCACACAAAGGCCGATACAACTGTCCTTACTGTCATACAAAGGCCGATACAACTGTCCTGACTTACTGTCACACAAAGGCCGATACAACTGTCCTGACTTACTGTCTTACAAAGGCCGATACAACTGTCCTGACTTACTGTCACACAAAGGCTGATACAACTGTCCTGACTTACTGTCACACAAAGGCCGATACAACTGTCCTTACTGTCATACAAAGGCCGATACAACTGTCCTGACTTACTGTCACACAAAGGCCGATACAACTGTCCTGACTTACTGTCATACAAAGGCCGATACAACTGTCCTGACTTACTGTCTCCGATACAACTGTCCTGACTTACTGTCACACAAAGGCCGATACAACTGTCCTGACTTACTGTCACACAAAGGCCGATACAACTGTCCTGACTTACTGTCACACAAAGGCTGATACAACTGTCCTGACTTACTGTCACACCAAGGCCGATACAACTGTCCTGACTTACTGTCACACCAAGGCCGATACAACTGTCCTGACTTACTGTCACACAAAGGCTGATACAACTGTCCTGACTTACTGTCGCACAAAGGCCCCTGGTAACCCTCGATACAGCCGTGCTTGCAGACTCCCTCCAAACGATCACACGTCTTGTCTCCAGCACAGTGCGAACAGGCTGGCGAGAGACAGACATTTGTAGATTGTGATTTGAGGGGGGGGGGGGGGGTGGGAGGGGGGGGGGGGAGGTGACACTCATCACACACCCAATGTTTCTTTCAGTGATTTCTCCGCTGGAAGTGGGATATCTCCCCTACCCCATTTCCACCCCTCCTCCCATGATACTCTAACACTACCCCGCCCCCCTGTAAAAGGATATTGAAAAGAATACTATATAGAAAAATATATAGAATATATTGTCGCCCCCCCCTAGACGTTACAAGTTTAACCACCCCCCATCCCCGGAGCAAAATGTCTGTAAACCAACCACCTATGCAGTGCCGGCGCCAGGTTATTTAGCGCCCTAGGCAAAACTTATTAAAAGCGCCCCTCCAAACCCGCATTTTTTTTTCGTGCTCCCGTATTTTTAGTGGCGTAGCGACCCTTCCCGGTACCCGGGGACGAACTTTCGATTTGCACCCCCCCCCCTTCAAACTTACGACTTGCACAACCCCCCCCCCCCCCCCTCAAACTTTCGATTTGCACCCCCCCTCAAACTGTCATTTTGTTTTTTCAACCCATTTTTGCGCCCCTCTATGGACAGCGCCCTAAGCATCCGCCTAGTTCGCCTTATAGGTAGCGCCGGCCCTGCACCTATGCACCTATTGACCTCCACACCTATGCACCCCTTGACCACCTTACCCTCCGAGCAGGACAGTCCCTTGAAGCCTGCCAGACACCCGTGCAGGCACTCCCCGTCCGTTCTGTTGCAGGTTTTGTTCCCTGCACAGTGTGGGCATGCTGGGGACACATGATTGGTTGTTAGCGGGGGTTTCATTGGTCTACCTGGTTGTTAGCGAGGGTTTCATTGGTCTACACAAGGTTGGTTGTTAGCGGGGGTTTCATTGGTCTACCTGGTTGTTAGCGGGGGTTTCATTGGTCTACTACACAAGGCTGGTTGTTAGCGGGGTTTCATTGGTCTACCTGGTTGTTATTGAGGGTTTCATTGGTCTACTACACAAGGCTGGTTGTTAGCGGGGGTTTCATTGGTCTACCTGGTTGTTAGCGAGGGTTTCATTGGTCTACTTAAGGCTGGTTGTTAGCGGGGGTTTCATTGGTCTACCTGGTTGTTAGCGGGGGTTTCATTGGTCTACTACACAAGGCTGGTTGTTGGCGGGGGTTTCATTGGTCTATCTGGTTGTTAGCGGGGGTTTCATTGGTCTACCTGGTTGTTAGCGGGGGTTTCATTGGTCTACCTGGTTGTTAGCGAGGGTTTCATTGGTCTACCTGGTTGTTAGCGAGGGTTTCATTGGTCTACCTGGTTGTTAGCGGGGGTTCCATTGGTCTACCTGGTTGTTAGCGGGGTTTCATTGGTCTACACAAGGCTGGTTGTTAGCGAGGGTTTCATTGGTCTACCTGGTTGTTAGCGAGGGTTTCATTGGTCTACTTAAGGCTGGTTGTCAGCGGGGGTTTCATTGGTCTACCTGGTTGTTAGCAAGGGTTTCATTGGTTTACCTGGTTGTTAGCGGGGGTTTGATTGGTCTACTACACAAGGCTGCTTGTTAGCGGGGGTTTCATTGGTCTACCTGGTTGTTAGCGAGGGTTTCATTGATCTACTTAAGGCTGGTTGTTAGCGGGGGTTTCATTGGTCTACCTGGTTGTTAGCGGGGGTTTCATTGGTCTACACAAGGCTGGTTGTTAGCGGGGGTTTCATTGGTCTACTTAAGGCTGGTTGTTAGCGGGGGTTTCATTGGTCTACTACACAAGGCTGGTTGTTAGCGGGGGTTTTATTAGTCTACCTGGTTGTTAGCGGGGGTTTCATTGGTCTACTACACAAGGCTGGATGTTAGCGGGGGTTTCATTGGTCTATCTGGTTGTTAGCGAGGGTTTCATTGGTCTACACAAGACTGGTTGTTAGCGGGGGTTTCATTGGTCTACCTGGTTGTTAGCGGGGGTTTCATCGGTCTACCTGGTTGTTAGCGAGGGTTTCATTTGTCTACCTGGTTGTTAGCGGGGGTTTCGTTGGTCTACACAAGACTGGTTGTTAGCGGGGGTTTCATTGTTCTACTACACAAGGCTGGTTGTTAGCGGGGGTTTCATTGGTCAAGGCAACAAGCTATGTTCGACGACAAGTGTTGTAAATAAAATGTCTGACACACAACTTATCAATTTATCCACTAAAGACCTTTCAAACCTGTACCCCACCCCCTCCACCGCTAGGATACGACCCTCACCTGTACCCCGATGACCACTCACCTGTTGAACACACCATCACGCGCTGACCACTCACCCGTTTCGCAGTCGTCGCCGCTGAAGCCTGGACGACAACCTTGATAACAGAATCCTGTGACGGCATCGCACGTGCCATTACCGGCACAGTGTGAGCAGGCTAATGAGTGGAAAGAAAAATTAACTCAGGCTTTTGTATGTGAGAAAGGAAGCCCTAAACAGCATGGATCCGATATATATATATATATATATATATATATATATATATATATATATATATATATATATATATATATATATATTTACATATGTATTTTTACACACATATATATATATATATATATATATATATATATATATATATATATATATATATATTGTGTGTATGTGTTTGGTAGTGCAGTAAGCTGGTCCCTCGGTTGACTGTAGAATAGAGCGGTTAATTGATATTCTAATATCCAGCTGCAAATTTAGGAAAATATGCAGATACCTCATCAATGGAGCTGAAATGAAACTGGGAGCTGAGCTAAGCTACTTACAGTTGTCGTGTACACCTTCGGAGCTTAACCCACGAACTGTCATTACGGCCGATGATCGGCCGTAATTCCCCTTTCTGTGGTGTTACGGCCGACTAAATCGGCCGTTATTAAAATCGCGGTTAAAAATGCGAATGAATAAATATACGTTGGTTAAAGGGAAGTAACTATTAAAAAATGAATTTCCTTCCTGTTTCCGGTATTGGAATGCTTTCTGTTTGTACATGAAGTTTGATTTTCGTTTTAAAACGGGAGTGAATATTTTCTCAGTATTTTTACTATGAAAATGTCGGTCTAAAGCCGCAGATCGTCAATCTAGATTAGAAAATAGCCTTAGATCTTCTTTATATGATTAAATACAGTGAGAAAATAAAGAGATGACTAGACATTCATGTTTGTGGTCTTCATTTCATTATTTTAATAAAAAACTAGATTTATAATAATGAAAATGCATGCCTTTTTACTGTAATTCTTGGAATGATCGCAAAGTAAAAGTCATGAATGAAATAATTCATACAAAATCGCTTTTCAACATTAGTTTATAAAACTATGTATTATCTAAAACTAATGACTTCTAGTATCTAAAAATGTAGTTTCTATGAGACTTGAAATTTTTTTGGGGGGTTTTAGGGAGGGTTGAATACAGAAGTTGAGTAGTCAAATTTTACTCTTCTTGTAAATGTCAAGGTCACTATCAACATACACAAAATAAAAACAAACTATTTGTGTATCAAAAGATTCCTTGTCCAATATACTTTCAGAAAATGTATACATGTAGGGGTCTCTGATTTCATTCAATATTAAATTTTGACAATTTTATCAAGCATACGAAAAACTCTAAAAATGCCCGAACGCCACAGAACAGTTGCACTTGACAGTTCGTGGGTTAAAGATGACACCGCGGATTTGAATATCGGATTTAAATAAGACATGAAATGTGTTTAAGACCAATATTTAATAACCAGTCCTTTTATATAAATTCTGGAAAAAATAACCTGATCTTTTTTTTGCAACGTTATTTCGCGTGTCATTTGGACAAAAGAAGTTCATCAACAACACAGTGGTGAATTATAAAAGATATCAGACGGCGGTCATTGTTACCGTTTTATCTAGAGGTGGTGTTTAATTGTTTTTTAATTGGAGATCAATACATTGATTTAAAAAGGCGCTACTTTGAAAAGTACTTATAGTGAGAGGCAACTGTTCGTCCTTCTATGTGAAAGCAAGATAAATAATGAACTCATAAAGCCACCCTTATATTAGATAAAGAAAGTTGGGAACTTACCATCTTACACAAGGAAAGTTGTGAGCTTACCATATTACACAAGAAAAGTTGTGAGCTTACCATATTACACAAGAAAAGTTGTGAGCTTACCATATTACACAAGGAAAGTTGTGAGCTTACCATATTACACAAGAAAAGTTGTGAGCTTACCATATTACACAAGAAAAGTTGTGAGCTTACCATATTACACAAGAAAAGTTGTGAGCTTACCATATTACACAAGAAAAGTTGTGAGCTTACCATATTACACAAGGAAAGTTGTGAGCTTACCATATTACACAAGAAAAGTTGTGAGCTTACCGTATTATGAGGAACGTTATTAGCTTACCATATTACACAAGGAAATTTGTGAGCTTACCATATTACACAAGGAAAGTTGTGAGCTTACCATATTACACAAGAAAAGTTGTGAGCTTACCATCTTTGCAAGACTCTCCCTTGTATTTGGGTAGGCAGCCTGATACACATTTGCCTGTAGTGATGTGGCAGGACCCATCCCCAGCGCAATGGGCGCAGTCTGTTGGGAGAGACAAGTGCCGGTTGACATGGGCAGGATTGGGAATTTGTCAACACCAACAACACGACACACGCAGATGGTTACTTCCCCAACACCACAGCCACACACGTCAGCCACCACACACATGTGGGGGTCACTTCCATAAAACAACAACCACAGACAAGTTACCACAACCACTTTACTACCGTTGATCCTTCACCAACAACACATCAGCCTCCGGCTATCCCTCACAACCGACACACCAACTTCTGTCATATTCGTCACACACATCAAATTAATCCACCAAACACTACACAACAACTCCAATCAATCCAACACATCTAGCACACCAAAATCCAATCAGTGCTAGCACCAAAAACCCATGACACGTCCCCCACGACCTTCCCCCAACATCCAATCAGTACTCACACTAAACACCTCCCTCCCAACATCCAATCAGTACTCACACCAAACACCCACGACCCCCCCCCTACAACATCCAATCAGTACTCACACCAAACACCCACGACCCCCCCCCTACAACATCCAATCAGTACTCACACCAAACACCCACGACCCCCCCTACAACATCCAATCTGTGCTCACACCAAACACCCACGACCCCCCCTACAACATCCAATCAGTACTCACACCAAACACCCACGACCCCCCCTACAACATCCAATCTGTGCTCACACCAAACACCCACGACCCCCCCTACAACATCAAATCAGTACTCACACCAAACACCCACGACCCCCCCCTACAACATCCAATCAGTACTCACACCAAACACCCACGACCCCCCCCCCTACAACATCCAATCTGTGCTCACACCAAACACCCACGACCCCCCCTACAACATCAAATCAGTACTCACACCAAACACCCACGACCCCCCCTACAACATCCAATCAGTACTCACACCAAACACCCACGACCCCCCCCCCTACAACATCCAATCTGTGCTCACACCAAACACCCACGACCCCCCCCCCCTACAACATCCAATCAGTACTCACACCAAACACCCACGACCCCCCCCCCCTACAACATCCAATCAGTACTCACACCAAACACCCACGACCCCCCCTACAACATCCAATCAGTACTCACACCAAACACCCACGACCCCCCCCCCTACAACATCCAATCAGTACTCACACCAAACACCCACGACCCCCCCCCCCTACAACATCCAATCAGTACTCACACCAAACACCCACGACCCCCCCCCTACAACATCCAATCAGTACTCACACCAAACACCCACGACCCCCCCCTACAACATCCAATCAGTACTCACACCAAACACCCACGACCCCCCCCCTACAACATCTAATCAGTACTCACACCAAACACCCACGACCCCCCCCCTACAATATCCAATCAGTACTCACACCAAACACCCACGACCCCCCCCCTACAATATCCAATCAGTACTCACACCAAACACCCACGACCCCCCCTACAACATCCAATCAGTACTCACACCAAACACCCACGACCCCCCCCCCCTACAACATCCAATCAGTACTCACACCAAACACCCACGACCCCCTACAACATCCAATCTGTGCTCACACTAAACGCCCACGACTCCCCCCCCCCAACATCCATTTCCCTGCCCCCCCCCCCCTGTAGCACTGACCACAGGTCTGGCTCACCTTCTCCACAGTTGGCCCCCCGGTGACCTGCTTTGCACCCCGACAGACATGCGCCGTTGTGCCTGATGCATGAACCGTTTCCTGCGCAGTTAGCGCACCCTGAAAAAACCCACAAACACGTAGTTAGGGGTCATCCATAAATAACGTCACGCTTTTTTTGACGATTTTTACCTCCCCCCCCCTCCTCTCCGTCACACATCGTCACAAAAAGCCAGACCCACCCCTAAAATGACATCACACCTCAGCCTACAACACCACTCAAAATTGCAGTTGAAATTTCTTTTAAAACATCGATATTTTTCCAAAATCTTGTCTGAACTCTCTCAACATAACGTATTTTAATCAATTCGTATCACAATTTAATAAAACAGTTCTCTAAAACGCGAAATAACATCTAAAATTAGTTTTCTAACATGGCTTTTTTATAATGCAAAAGTGTGACGTCGCACCATCTGACCCCCCCCCCCCCTCCCCCTCATCACACACCGTCACAAAATTACGGACCCCCTCCCCCCTAAGAGTGTGACGTCATTTACGGACGACCCCCATAGTGAAACCAGGCGTATCTTTAGGATATACTCCTCATGCACACGTTCACGTTCAACAGGACAAGAAAACACTTTCACCCCTGTCGCAGGGGCGGAACTACAGTGCCGCCAGACCCCTCAATGCGGGGGGGGGGGGGGCACGCCATTTAGGGGCCCGTAGCCGACCATAATAAATTTTTTATAGTTAAAAAAATAATATTCTTGCATTTTTGACTTGACGGTAAAAGCTTTTGTAAATAACAAACAGATCTACTACAGTAGTGATGCTATACAGTAGCTAACACATGCTGTTGCATAAAAAAATACATATGCCTGAGCTGTAGTGTGAAAGATAGGCAAACATTCAAACTACTACCATGACTTATTTCCCTTTTTTAAATGGTTAAATAGGGATGCTCATTAGCTCCTTTCAATATATTTGTACTAAACAAATTAAAAGCAATTAGGCCTACCTCTCTTAATTATTATTTTTATAAAAATACATACTAAAGATTGACATAGCATAATAAGAAAATATATTTAAAACAAATAATACAAATACAATAGTTATATTCTTTTGACCGGCTAAATACTAGAAGGTAGGCTGTGTTAAAGCAAACATAAGGAATGAAAAAAAAAAAAAAAAAAAAAATTAAACTAGATCTATGCACTCACACACATGACATGTTGTAATTCGTTTCAATTGAAAAAAAAAATTATTCTTTTTTCAAAACCCGATCAGGCCAGAAATGACTATCAATAAATAAATAAATAAATAAAAAAAAAAAAAAAAAAAAAAAAAAATATATATATATATATATATATATATATATATATATATATATATATATATAGGGGCCCAGACAAATTTTTTGCGGGGTGGCCCTTATTTTCTAGTTCCGCCACTGCCCTGTCGAATTGCATCTTTCTCGATCCGTTATTAAAATATTTTTTTTCCGGTAGTTTGTAACCTTCTAAATTAATTATAAATAAAACGGGAGTGATCTCCCCTCAACTTTCTCGAATGTTCTTATGTAACACTACGAGGGAGAAGGCAACTCCGGATATGGACATTATTTTTAATCCATTTTTAATTACTTAAACTACGAGATTCTATTCTGCTTTAAAATTTTTAAGTATATAGAAATTGATTAAAATCATATCTATATCCCAAGTTGCCATCCCCCGTAGTGTTATCTAAGAATATTCGAGAACAGTGTTTCTACCAGGCATCTCTTCGGGGGGGGGGGGGGGATTTATATAGACAATATAAACTTTTAACAGCGTCCGCCGCCCCCCCCCCCTCGGAATTTTTTAGTCCGACCCCTTCTCCCCCTGAAATATCAACCCCCCCCCCCCCCCCACGGAGAAAAAAGTCTGGCCTTTTGTTTTAAACAGTTTACACAGACATAACGTAAACACATGAGGGAATGAACAGAAACCGCCATTTTCACCCACGTGATCTGACTTACGTAACAGGCAGACGTCACCCCGAAAGCCGGTGGCACACCCGTCATAGCAGAAGCCGTCTGATTGTCGGCACGTGCCGTTTCCCGCACAGTTGGCGCATGCTGATTGGTCAGAAAAGAAGACAAACTTTGTAAATTACAAAACTTCATTAACTTTAATTAGTCGAGCATGCTGATTGGTCAAATAGGAAGACAAACTTTAAAATTATAAAACTAAATTACAAAAATTAACTATGTCTATGTGCTTACCTCACCTAGGGATATAACAACACAGTTACGTTAAATATTTAAATGACATTTATTGAAAAGGGAAAGCTAAGTGGTTGAAAATGTTAATATTGCAAATTTTAATTGAACGAGAAAGATGGACTATTGACTATACATTTAAGTGGCATTTGTGCAGACCACACCATCCCCTCATACGACGGGGTCAAGAAACATGAACTCTAGTTATTTTTAGTTAATCTATCAAATGGATCGCTAGGGCGGCTAGTGCTAAAGGGGAATCTTTTCCTTTTTATAAAAAAAAAAACAACTTTGATCGATTTGTCAAAATATATAAGCTACAGACTTTTAAAAATAGTTTTCATACACAGATCTAGTCCAACGTGTTCTGCAATGATTCTCACACTGTACATTTGACTGCATTTGTTAATTTATTAAATTTTTTTTCCCAATAATTTGAACTTTGCCATTTACTTTTAAATACCCTTTCAGCTGCTTGATAACAAGGGAAATAAAAAAGGCATTGCTGCATTGTCTGGTCATCTCCCTTTTATTAACTATGAAGCGAAATATCTAGGTAGAACGATGTTCATTTTAAACAATTATAACAACAAATATTTCTTTGATTCAGAGTACAGCACTAGTGCAATTGGCTGGCTGTAATATACGTTATGAGATGGATGTTCTGTTATACTCTCAACCAGTGGCGTAGCCAGGATATATATATATATATATATATATATATATATATATATATATATATACATATATACATATATATATATACATATATACATATATATACATATATATATATATATATATATATATATATATATACATATATATATACATATATATATATATACATATATATACATACATATATATATATATATATATATATATATATATATATATATATATATATATATATATATATATATATATAGTGGTGTTAGTCCCCCTAACCCCCCCCCCCTTGCCTACGCCACTGCTCTCAACAAAATAAAATGTGTCATGTGTATATGTCTAGCCGGTTAATGAGAGTGGGTATTGGTGTAGGTTTGTGTATCGTTCTGCACGTTTGTATAGGTATTAGCGTGTGTGTGGTTGTGTGTGTGTGCTTATGCCATTTTATGGATGTCTGCATTTGAAAAGCTTATATTTTCTTACAATGACACGCTGTGGGGGAGGGGGCGTCACTAGGTCGGGTGTCTTCTGATGCGGTAACTGAGGGTGTCAGTCCACCCCAGCCCTCAAATTTGAATTATATTTTTTTGTGTCACCCTTCTCCACATACAACTTTATTATTTTAACCAGATAAAACATTGTTTTGACAAACTTATTTTACGATTTTTTTATTCGGCGTCACCCCTTAAATGATGTCACTGGGTGTGGACCGCACCCCCGCATCCCGCCTTGTGACGCCATGCTCCAGCTAACATAGGAGGAAATTTCCTACCTTACACATACGTGTACACAACCAAGAAAACAAAACAAGTGTCTGTGGAATTTTATGCTTCCGCATAAAAAAAATAACACAACAAATACCCAAGTGTGAGTAGAATTTAAAAAGTGACCTACTTACGTTCCGTGCACGCTGGGCCGGTAAACTTGCCGGCACAGCCCTGGTTGCAGTAACCGTGCTGCCGGTCACAGGCCTTGTTGCCACCACAGTTCAGGCACTCTGTCGACAAGAACATTGTTTGAATGACGGACACGAGAGATAATACAAGAATAGACGTCTACCATCACGGTGATAAAGGAATCTCGAGCACACACAACTTTAAACGTTTGACATAACGACTCTAGAACATAAACGTCTGTCGCAGGAGTATAAGTTACGCCTAGAAAAAACACAACTTGCTTGGCCAGATACAGCGTGAGTGATTATTAACACAACACCAAATCACACGCTAAGCCATCAGTACACCTTTATCCCCACAACACCCACAAACTATCACCAAGCCTACAATACAGAATATCGTGAGCTACATGAATTGCTACATATAACAAACCTAGATTCACTGGCCAGATAACATAAGTAACAAAATGAAGTTTAAGGCCTTGTTGCCTAGGTAACCGGGTGTGTATATACATGTCCAGATTCTTCACACGAGGAAAGCTGTAGATTGTGGCTAATACTCCAGCAGGACAGAGAACCCTGAAGAGCTGTAGTTGGCGGCCCATACTCCAGCAGGACAGAGAACTCAGGAGGGCTGTAGTTGGTGGCCCATACTCCAGCAGGACAGAGAACTCTGGAGAGCTGTAGTTGGCGGCCCATACTCCAGCAGGACAGAGAACTCAGGAGGGCTGTAGTTGGTGGCCCATACTCCAGCAGGACAGAGAACTCTGGAGAGCTGTAGTTGGCGGCCCATACTCCAGCAGGACAGAGAACCATGAAGAGCTGTAGTTGGCGGCCCATACTCCAGCAGGAAAGAGAACTCTGGAGAGCTGTAGTTGGCGGCCCATACTCCAGCAGGACAGAGAAATCTGGAGAGCTGTAGTTGGCGGCCCATACTCCAGCAGGACAGAGAACTCTGGAGAGCTGTAGATCGTGGCTAATACTCCAGCAGGACAGAGAACTCTGAAGAGCTGTAGTTGGTGGCCCATACTCCAGCAGGACAGAGAACTCTGGAGAGCTGTAGTTGGTGGCCCATACTCCAGCAGGACAGAGAACTCTGGAGAGCTGTTGATTGTGGCTAATACTCCAGCAGGACAGAGAACTCTGGAGAGCTGTAGTTGGTGGCCCATACTCCAGCAGGACAGAGAACTCTGGAGAGCTGTAGTTGGTGGCCCATACTCCAGCAGGACAGAGAACTCTGGAGAGCTGTAGTTGGTGGCCCATACTCCAGCAGGACAGAGAACTCTGGAGGACTGTAGTTGGTGGCCCATACTCCAGCAGGACAGAGAACTCTGGAGGACTGTAGTTGGTGGCTAATACTCCAGCAGGACAGAGAACTCTGGAGAGCTGTAGTTGGTGGCCCATACTCCAGCAGGACAGAGAACTCTGGAGGACTGTAGTTGGCGGCCCATACTCCAGCAGGACAGAGAACTCTGAAGGGCTGTAGTTGGTGGCCCATACTCCAGCAGGACAGAGAACTCTGGAAGGCTGTAGTTGGCGGCCCATACTCCAGCAGGACAGAGAACTCAGGAGAGCTGTAGTTGGCGGCCCATACTCCAGCATGACAGAGAACTAGAGAGCTGTAGTTGGTGGCCCATACTCCAGCATGACAGAGAACTAGAGAGCTGTAGTTGGTGGCCCATACTCCAGCATGACAGAGAACTAGAGAGCTGTAGTTGGTGGCCCATACTCCAGCAGGACAGAGAACTAGAGAGCTGTAGTTGGTGGCCCATACTCCAGCATGACAGAGAACTAGAGAGCTGTAGTTGGTGGCCCATACTCCAGCAGGACAGAGAACTCTGGAGAGCTGTGGTTGGCGGCCCATACTCCAGCAGGACAGAGAACTCTGAAGAGCTGTGGTTGGCGGCCCATACTCCAGCAGGACAGAGAACTCTGGAGAGCTGTAGTTGGCGGCCCATACTCCAGCAGGACAGAGAACTCTGAAGAGCTGTGGTTGGCGGCCCATACTCCAGCAGGACAGAGAACTCTGGAGAGCTGTAGTTGGTGGCCCATACTCCAGCAGGACAGAGAACTCTGGAGAGCTGTAGTTGGCGGCCCATACTCCAGCAGGACAGAGAACTCTGGAGAGCTGTAGTTGGCGGCCCATACTCCAGCAGGACAGAGAACTCTGGAGAGCTGAAATTGGTGGCCCATACTCCAGCAGGACAGAGAACTCTGGAGAGCTGTAGTTGGTGGCCCATACTCCAACAGGACAGAGAACTCTGGAGAGCTGTAGTTGGTGGCCCATACTCCAGCAGGACAGAGAACTCTGGAGGGCTGTAGTTGGTGGCCCATACCACAATACTCCAGCAGGACAGAGAACTCTGAAGAGCTGTAGTTGGCGGCCCATACTCCAGCAGGACAGAGAACTCTGAAGAGCTGTAGTTGGCGGCCCATACTCCAGCAGGACAGAGAACTCTGGAGAGCTGTAGTTGGTGGCCCATACTCCAGCAGGACAGAGAACTCTGAAGAGCTGTGATTGGCGGCCCATACTCCAGCAGGACAGAGAACTCTGGAGAGCTGTAGTTGGTGGCCCATAATCCAGCAGGACAGAGAACTCTGGAAGGCTGTAGTTGGCGGCTCATACTCCAGCAGTAGTGACGCTAGGTTATGGTCATGCTAATGCTATCGCCCAAAGACTGACTGCTTAAACCCACGAACCTTCAGAGCAATCCGTTCCCTTGAAGCCCGGCTTACATTCACCCGTACATCTTCCAGTAATACGGTCGCACTTCCCGTCCTCGCCACATTGGGCACATCCTAAAGAAATGATGATATTACATTATTTATACACTTCTACTTTCAACCATCGAGTAGTTTTGTCTGTTTGAAGATCCAATCTTTGAACTAAATGATTTAGTTTACCCTTTGCAGATAATATATAATAATATTTAGGAACAAACTCATTTAAATAGTGTATCTATATATATAATTCTCCTCTTCGAGTCGTTAGAAAACAAGCTGCAAACGCTCTCCCTACCTCCCCACCCCTACATGGTTTTAGTGAGCTGTGTTCACTCTAAATGTTTACAAGCAGAGCCAACGATTTTAAACGTAGGGGGGGGGGGGGAGGGGGGGGAAGGAAGGGGGGGGGGGTTATGGTCCTTAACGAGCTACTTATAGTGTTTTAAAGAAATATTTTCAGTGTCAGCGTTGGTACTGTCGAATTCACAAATTATGAATTATTGAAAATTAGAAATAACTAAATAGCGGCGTATGTTATGCCGCGGGCCGGCTCGTTATTCTATAATTAAAGAAAAAGGTTGTCATTAAAACGTTTATATGCATTTTTTCCCAGTAAAGCTTTTATTTACAATATAGTTGCATGAGGCCCACACAATACGATGTGGTACTGGTGACACATGAGGCCATACAATGTGGTACTGGTGACTCATGAGGCCCACACAATGTGGTACTGGTGACACATGAGGCCCACACAATGTGGTACTGGTGACACATGAGGCCATACAATGTGGTACTGGTGACTCATGAGGCCCACACAAGACAATGTGGTACTGGTGACACATGAGGCCCAGACAAGACAATGTGGTACTGGTGACACATGAGGCCCACACAATGTGATACTGGTGACACATGAGGCCCACACAAGACAATGTGGTACTGGTGACACATGAGGCCATCACAATGTGGTACTGGTGACACAGGAGGCCCACACAATGTGGTACTGGTGACACATGAGGCCCACACAATGTGGTACTGGTGACACATGAGGGCCACATAATGTGGTACTGGTGACACATGAGGCCCACACAATGTGGTACTGGTGACACATGAGGCCCACACAAGACAATGTGGTACTGGTGACACATGAGGCCATCACAATGTGGTACTGGTGACACAGGAGGCCCACACAATGTGGTACTGGTGACACATGAGGCCCACACAATGTGGTACTGGTGACACATGAGGGCCACATAATGTGGTACTGGTGACACATGAGGCCCACACAATGTGGTACTGGTGACACATGAGGCCCACACAATGTGGTACTGGTGACACATGAGGCCCACACAATGTGGTACTGGTGACACATGAGGCCCACACAATGTGGTACTGGTGACACATGAGGCCCACACAATGTGGTACTGGTGACACATGAGGGCCACACAATGTGGTACTGGTGACACATGAGGCCCAAACAATGTGGTACTGGTGACACATGAGGCCCACACTAGACAATGTGGTACTGGTGACACATGAGGCCCACACAAGACAATGTGGTACTGGTGACACATGAGGCCCACACAATGTGGTACTGGTGACACATGAGGCCCACACAATGTGGTACTGGTGACACATGAGGCCCACACAATGTGGTACTGTTGAGACATGAGGCCCACACAATGTGGTACTGGTGACACATGAGGCCCACACAATGTGTTACTGGTGACACATGAGACCCACACAATGTGGTACTGGTGACACATGAGGCCCACACAATGTGGTACTGGTGACACATGAGGCCCACACAATGTGGTACTGATGACACATGAGGAACACACAAGATAATGTGGTACTGGTGACACATGAGGCCCACACAATGTGTTACTGGTGACACATGAGACCCACACAATGTGGTACTGGTGACACATGAGGCCCACACAATGTGTTACTGGTGACACATGAGACCCACACAATGTGGTACTGGTGACACATGAGGCCCACACAATGTGGTACTGGTGACACATGAGGCCCACACAATGTGTTACTGGTGACACATGAGGCCCACACAATGTGTTACTGGTGACACATGAGGCCCACACAATGTGTTACTGGTGACTCATGAGGCCCACACAATGTGGTACTGGTGACACATGAGGCCCACACAATGTGTTACTGGTGACACATGAGGCCCACACAATGTGTTACTGGTGACACATGAGGCCCACACAATGTGTTACTGGTGACACATGAGGCCCACACAATGTGTTACTGGTGACACATGAGGCCCACACAATGTGGTACTGGTGACACATGAGGCCCACACAATGTGTTACTGGTGACACATGAGGCCCACACAATGTGTTACTGGTGACACATGAGGCCCACACAATGTGGTACTGGTGACACATGAGGCCCACACAATTGTGGTACTGGTGACACATGAGGCCTACACAATGTGGTACTGGTGACACATGAGGCCCACACAATGTGGTACTGGTGACACATGAGGCCCACACAATGTGTTACTGGTGACACATGAGGCCCACACAATGTGGTACTGGTGACACATGAGGCCCACACAATGTGTTACTGGTGACACATGAGGCCCACACAATGTGGTACTGGTGACACATGAGGCCCACACAATGTGTTACTGGTGACACATGAGGCCCACACAATGTGGTACTGGTGACACATGAGGCCCACACAATTGTGGTACTGGTGACACATGAGGCCTACACGATGTGGTACTGGTGACACATGAGGCCCACACAATGTGTTACTGGTGACACATGAGGCCCACACAATGTGGTACTAGTGACACATGAGGCCTACACAATGTGGTACTGGTAACACATGAGGCCCACACAATACAATGTGGTACTGGTGACACATGAGGCCCACACAATACAATGTGGTACTGGTGACACATTAGGCCCACACAATGTGGTACTGGTGACACATGAGGCCCACACAATACAATGTGGTACTGGTGACACATGAGGCCCACACAATACAATGTGGTACTGGTGACACATTAGGCCCACACAAGACAATGTGGTACTCACGCTGGTGACACATGAGGCCCACACAATGTGGTACTGGTGACACATGAGGCCCACACAATGTGGTACTGGTGACATGAGGCCCACACAATACAATGTGGTACTGGTGACACATGAGGCCCACACAATGTGGTACTGGTGACACATGAGGCCCACACAATGTGGTACTGGTGACACATGAGGCCCACACAAGACGATGTGGTACTGGTGACACAAGTGGCCCACACAAGACAATGTGGTACTCACGCTGGTGACACATGAGGCCCACACAATGTGGTACTGGTGACACATGAGGCCCACACAATGTGGTACTGGTGACACATGAGGCCCACACGATGTGGTACTGGTGACACATGAGGCCCACACAATGTGTTACTGGTGACACATGAGGCCCACACAATGTGGTACTAGTGACACATGAGGCCTACACAATGTGGTACTGGTAACACATGAGGCCCACACAATACAATGTGGTACTGGTGACACATGAGGCCCACACAATACAATGTGGTACTGGTGACACATTAGGCCCACACAATGTGGTACTGGTGACACATGAGGCCCACACAATACAATGTGGTACTGGTGACACATGAGGCCCACACAATACAAACAGGTACTGGTGACACATTAGGCCCACACAAGACAATGTGGTACTCACGCTGGTGACACATGAGGCCCACACAATGTGGTACTGGTGACACATGAGGCCCACACAATGTGGTACTGGTGACATGAGGCCCACACAATACAATGTGGTACTGGTGACACATGAGGCCCACACAATGTGGTACTGGTGACACATGAGGCCCACACAATGTGGTACTGGTGACACATGAGGCCCACACAAGACGATGTGGTACTGGTGACACAAGTGGCCCACACAAGACAATGTGGTACTCACGCTGGTGACACATGAGGCCCTTGAAGCCGGGCTTACACTCATGCTTGCACACGCCGGTATTGACGTCACAAGACCCGTCCCCCCCACAGTTGCCACATGCTGCAAAAAAAAGGCCGGTAAATAAAATAAAATAAAGGCCGGTAAATAAAATAAAATAAAGGCCGGTAAATAAAATAAAATAAAGGCCGGTAAATAAAATAAAATAAAGGCCGGTAAATAAAATAAAATAAAGGCCGGTAAATAAAATAAAATAAAGGCCGGTAAATAAAATAAAATAAAGGCCGGTAAATAAAATAAAATAAAGGCCGGTAAATAAAATAAAATAAAGGCCGGTAAATAAAATAAAATAAAGGCCGGTAAATAAAATAAAATAAAGGCCGGTAAATAAAATAAAATAAAGGCCGGTAAATAAAATAAAATAAAGGCCGGTAAATAAAATAAAATAAAGGCCGGTAAATAAAATAAAATAAAGGCCGGTAAATAAAATAAAATAAAGGCCGGTAAATAAAATAAAATAAAGGCCGGTAAATAAAATAAAATAAAGGCCGGTAAATAAAATAAAGGCCGGTAAATAAAATAAAATAAAGGCCGGTAAATAAAATAAAATAAAGGCCGGTAAATAAAATAAAATAAAGGCCGGTAAATAAAATAAAATAAAGGCCGGTAAATAAAATAAAATAAAGGCCGGTAAATAAAATAAAATAAAGGCCGGTAAATAAAATAAAGGCCGGTAAATAAAATAAAATAAAGGCCGGTAAATAAAATAAAATAAAGGCTGGTAAATAAAATAAAATAAAGGCCGGTAAATAAAATAAAATAAAGGCCGGTCAATACAAAAAAATAAGGGTCGGACAATACAAAAAATAAAAGTCGGTCAATACAAAAATAAAAATTAAGGCCGGTCAATACAAAGAAAACAAATTATGGCCGGTCAATGCAAAAAATATTTGGCCGGTTAATACAAAAAATAAAGGCCGGTCAATTAAAAAAAATATACATTGTGAAATAGAATGTGAACACCCGCCTAGCTCAACACACGATGTATTGTATACTTACATCGCTTGCACGATGTTACATTGTTCCTTGAAGTGTTGTATACTTACATCGCTTGCACGATGTTACATTGTTCCTTGTAGTACAGTTGTAACACAGCCCAATGATGTTACATTCCTTCCCTGCACAGTGACTGCAGTCGGTGGAACAGTCAAGCCCCGACCCCCCCGGGGGACAGCCTAAATGAGAAGAAATTGTGAGAATAGTGAAGGTTATGGAACGTACAGTCTATATGAAAATAATTGTGTGAATAGTTAAGGTTCTGTGCATATAGTCTATATGAGATCAATTATGATAGTGAAGTCTATATACCTACATAAACTTACACCTAAAGCTTGAAATAAACAAACAGAGAGAACATGTCCTTACATAAACTTGCCCCTTAAAGCCTGGAAGAACGTAGAGAACATGTACCTACATAAACTTACCCCCTAAAGCCCGAAATAAACACACAGAGAGAACATGTTCCTACATAAACTTACCCCTTAAAGCCTGAAATAAACACACGGAAAGAACATATCCCTACATAATCTTACCCCCTAAAGCCTGAAATAAACACACAGAAAAACATATCCCCACATAAACTTACCACCTAAAGCCTGGAAGAACGGAGAGAACATGTACCTACATAGACTTACCCCCTAAAGCCTGAAATAAACAGACAGAAAGAACATATCCCTACATAATCTTACCCCCTAAAGCCTGAAATAAACACACAGAAAGAACATATCCCTCCATAAACTTACCCCCTAAAGCCTGGAAGAACGGAGAGAACATGTACCTACATAAACTTTCCCCCTAAAGCCTGGAAGAACGGAGAGAACATGTACCTACATAAACTTTCCCCCTAAAGCCTGGAAGAACGGAGAGAACATGTACCTACATAAACTTACCCCCTAAAGCCTGAAATAAACACACAGACAGAACATATCCCTCCATAAACTTACCCTCTAAAGCCTGAAATAAACACACAGAAAGAACATATCCCTACACAAACTTACCCCCTAAAGCCTGAAATAAACACACAGAAAGAACATATCCATTCTGTACCACGCTCTTGTCCTCGGACAAGATCTGGATGTTCTTGACGAGTTGGCTGACGTTAACCTTGGGCAGGATGCTGTACTCACGCTTGGCGACCATGTATCGGATCTGTTCGTTGGTGATAGCTTTGGCGTCCCGATCGTTGTACTGGATGGTGAAGTTGTTCAGCATGTCGTACAAGCCCTCTGTTAGATAGGTAAATGGGCGAATTTATGACGTAGTGCAATAGATTAGAAGCCCACTGTTTCGTTTATTGGATTTCATTTTCCAATCTATTAATAAATGAAATAATAGATTTTATGAATTTAAAATTTCAGATTAATGGCATTCTTGGACACATATTAGGCACCGTAAAATGGTTGGAATCTGCTCATTCCGCTAAAGTAAAATACGAGATTATCCGGGAAGGTAATCTAAACCCTAATTAGTGAAACGAGCTAGGTTTTGAATGTTTGTGACAAAATTTATTCGCGTATCTGCCTTTAGATTAGTATCAACAGAACTGTAGCTGTTTAGGGGAGATTTCGCATGGAAATATTTATCAATGACTTGAATTTCAAACAGAAAAGGCTTTACATTGCTCCATTAAATCTAATTAAAAGACAAAATAATGAATTATTTTTTTCTTTTACTAAATGTGCAGAACAAGTAATGCTAAATATGAATTGTGTAACACTGCCTCAGTGGGTATGCTTATCACCCAATGATGTGTTATGTTTAAAAGGGCTGACCCTGAGAGGTATAGCACACAATGGAACGACACTGTTGTTGTCAACTACTGGATTTATTGACATTAACATCCAAGCCAACTGGCTATGTAGACAGGAGAAAATGTAGAAAAACTGTAGAAAATACTGTGGAAAACAGTAGCCCTTCATTAGGTGTACATGATCTACTTATCATAAGCAACGGCACTGTCCGTGTCCGCAGCAGCTTTGGGTTTGAATGAACCACCCAGAATCCCAGAGGACACATGACATGAAACCCGGGTAAATATCGCTCACCGAAGAACAATAAAAAAAAAACTACATCAACAGTTGCAGTCAAACAGGACCCGAAACCCAATAAATTATAACTTATTATTTATCCCCCTTGGCTGTTAACAATGATGTGTTACAAATTGCGTATTTTTTATTCAACAAAAAAAAAATCCACCAACTAAACCATTTGGTTGAGATAACTACCGTGGGAAAATAGTTGAATGTAAGTTTTATTCTGACGGTAACCAAGTATAAATACTGGTTGCTAAGCAGAAATGTATCGGTGGGATACATACACAAGCAAATGAAACTAAAAATAATTCGTGTGATTTAAAATCAACAAGTTGTATCAATGTAAAAAAAAATGTATGTGGATTCAGGATAAGAAATATATAATGTCATAAATTTCATATTTAAAAAGTTAATCTGGTGTATCTTCTACCTTAAACACAACCCGGGATTCTTGCGGGTATCTCTTTGTGGGGTTGGGGCGGAGCTTGTTTCACCCCCCCCCATCCTACTCGTACGAAATTTTTTAAAAATGTATAATTAAAATAGAAAATATGTACTTAATCCTAGTGTCCGAACGCCCCTCCCCCCTGTCCTCAAAATTTCAGGTACCCCTCCCCCCTTACACCACACACACACAGAAACAAAATGTCTGGAAAAAAAACTTAGGACACCATTGGACACCATACCTCGGTAGTTCCGGAGAACTATTTTAAAAAGACTGAAGGGAAACGGGAAGTCCACGTTGAGGAACACCTTGGAAGTCAACGACACCTGGGTCTGGAAGCAGGTCAATGAGTTCACGTCAAAGTCCACGGCGTAATCAGACACCATCTGGGCTTCCACCAAGGAGCTGCTCGTCGTTGTTTTTAGTGCTAGGTCTCGTCCTGGTGTTTTAAAAATAGATCTTCAGTCTAAATTCTGGGATAATGTAATGATATCATGCTAATTTACTTGGAAATATATAATGTGCTCGTCGTTGTTTTTAGTGCTAGGTCTCGTCCTGGTGTTTTAAAAATAGATCTTCAGTCTAAATTCTGGGATAATGTAATGATATCATGCTAATTTACTTGGAAATATATAATGTACTCGTCGTTGTTTTTAGTGCTAGGTCTCGTCCTGGTGTTTTAAAAATAGATCTTCAGTCTAAATTCTGGGATAATGTAATGATATCATGCTAATTTACTTGGAAATATATAATGTACTCGTCGTTTGTTTCGGTGCTAGGTCTCGTCCTGGTGTTTTAAAAATAGATCTTCAGTCTAAATTCTGGGATAATGTAATGATATCATGCTAATTTACTTGGAAATATATAATGTACTCGTCGTTTGTTTCGGTGCTAGGTCTCGTCCTGGTGTTTTAAAAATAGATCTTCAGTCTAAATTCTGGGATAACGTAATGATATCATGCTAATTTACTGAGAAATATATAATGTACTCGTCGTTTGTTTCGGTGCTAGGTCTCGTCCTGGTTTTTAAATAAAATACTTAAAAAAAACTTTTTAAAAAACCACGTTTTTCTTGTTGACTAAAAAGTAGAAAATAACTATTTACATACATTTGATGACAAAAAACGTGGGTACGTTCACCATCAAATTTCCCGACCCATCTGCCCGACCCACGATTTTGTCATCAAATGTATGTAAATAGTTATTTTCTACTTTTTAGTCAACAAGAAAAACGTGGTTTTTTAAAAAGTTTTTTTTAAGTATTTTATTTTCTCCTTTTTAGTCCGTTGCTACACATGAAAAACGTGGTTTTTAAAAAGTTTTTTATATAGTTTATTTTCTACTTTATCTAATCACTTGATTAAGTATGACTTGACTAAGTGTTTTTAAATACACGGACTAAAAAAATCTTGAGCGACCGATACGCTTTAAACAGAGAAAGGGTGTAATTTACGTTGCTGGCCTGGAGATCTACTCACGAATCACGTGATCAAATCTCCCATAAACAAACAAATAAACGCGAAGCTGAGTTAAGGAAAAACGTGTTTATGTGTATTTTAGCATGCCCAGCGTACCAACCGTGTCACCGTTAACAATGTGTTACCGTGTCCGTTCTCCTTTTTAGTCCGTTGCTACACATAAAAAACGTGTTTTTTTAAAAAGTTTTTTTTAAGTATTTTATTTTCTCCTTTTTAGTCCGTTGCTACACATGAAAAACGTGGTTTTTAAAAAAGTGTTTATAAATACACGGACTAAAAATCTTGAGCGACCAGGATTCGAACCTGATTTGTCGCGGCCACAACGCGAAGTACTAACCACTATACGATCACGGCCAGCGCGCTCACATCGATTGGGGCCGAAGTAACTGTGTCAACAGGCCTCCAGTCTTGTCGGTATCTTTAGAAATCATGTCCTCAATTTTATGGTCCTTGGGGCGTAATTAAATTAAGCTAATTACGGTCACTAATTGCTAGTTTTTATGATTGCATCTGAAATTGTTAGGCGAAAGTAGCATGCATGCCAAATTTCAGGTCTCTAGAGCAATCAGAAGTGGGCTAATTTTCGATGTCAATTTTAACAACAAACATCCAAACAACCAAACAAACAAACGCGAAGCTGAGTTAAGAAAAACGTGTTAAAATAGATCTTCAGTCTAAATACTATGATAATGTAGTGATATCATGCTCATTTACTAGGAAATAAATAATGTACTTGTTTGTTTCGGTGCTAGGTCTCGTCCTGGTGTTTTAAAAATAGATCTTAAATCTAAATTCTAGGATAATGTAGTGATATGCTTATTTACTTGGAATTAAATAATGTACTTGTCGTTTGTTTTAGTGCTTGTCTCGTCCTGGTATTTTAAAAATAGATCTTCAGTCTAAATGCTAGGACAATGTAATTATATTACGCTTATTTACTTGGAAATAAATAATGTACATAACTTTTATTATCACAAGTATTTAAAAATTCAAAGATTTGTTTAGATATACTTTTTAAATCATTGATATCACATTAAGCGATTTGATTAATTTAGTTTCATTTATTTAACAATTGTTGCATTGCATTCAAAAGCTGTTCATAAAAAGATATGAATGTATGTTTTGATTTACACATTGTTTTGTATCTAGATGTGAAAATCTAATATATAAAGCTCAGTTCTGTATGTATATAAACATATGTATATCGTTGACATACTTCCATGGATTAAAGTGTTAGAATATTACCGTGCGCATTTGTCTAAATTTATGAGCTAAAAAATTACCATTGAAAGTGTTGGGAAATAATTTTCATTTTTCAAACTGAAAGTAATAATTGTCGGCATGTTCATTAAACACAATTTTAAAAAAATATCATCTTTTACAAAAATTCTAATTATGTCTTTATTTAGTCCTATAGCGCTTACTTCCCTTTGATAAATTAGGAAAACACAATTACTTCCCTTTATAAAACCATTGCATTAGTGGAAAAGCATTTACTTTTTATTACTTTGTTTTGGTGTTGGGAAAAAAATAATTACATAATTAGCGGGGATTGATCAAGAGCAAATGTTGTAGGTATTTTACGGATAAGCTTGGAGTATTATAATTGTTCATTAAATTGAAACAGGCGCGTTCGTTTAAGTGAGTGCAAAAACTATGAATAAGTTGGGGTACTATAGTCGTTTATTAAGCTAAAACAGGCGATTCTGCCCTGGGCGTTTATGTTCGCGTTAGTGTTTTCTTTGTGTTTAGGTGGGTTTGCGTTAGTGGTTGCGTTTTGATTTGGTTCGTTTTTGTTCTTTCTTTTTTTCGTTTTTGTTTGTGTTTTTTTCTATGGGTTTGTATTTGTGTTTTTGGTTGGTTTTGCGTTTGGATTTGGTTTGTTTTCGTTTGCTTTTTTGTTTGTTTTTTCTTTGTGTTTGTATTGGTGTTTGTGGTTGTGGTTGGTTTTGTTGTTAGGTTTTTGTTTTCGTTTGTATTTGTAATTGTGTTAGCGTTATGTTTGCGTTTTTTTGTTTTGGTTTTGGTTGGTTGTGGTTTGGGTGGGCAATGCCGGGTATAGAATGATTACTAAACACACAGGTAATGGTCTTTAACAGAAAGGTTTTATTACAGAAGCCAGAGCAGGGCCTGGCCGGGACGGCTAGTATAACATAAAGTAGATATTTTACAATTAGTAGAATTAAATCTCTCCATGCCGTTTGCTTTAAATTAAATCGACAAAACTACTTGCTTGAAAACCCAATCTGATGTCTCATTGCTAAAGCACATGTTTCTATCACCTATAACATATATAGCCCGCTACCTCAACACTAAGCCACACATTTCTATCCCCTATAACATTTGCTACCTCAACACTAAGCCACACATTTCTATCCCCTATAACATTTGCTACCTCAACACTAAACCACACATTTCTATCCCCTATAACATATATAGCCCGCTACCTCAACACTAAGCCACACATTTCTATCCCCTATAACATTTGCTACCTCAACACTAAGCCACACATTTCTATCCCCTATAACATATATAGCCTACTACCTCAACACTAAGTCACACATTTCTATCCCCTATAACATTTGCTACTTCAACACTAAGCCACACATTTCTATCACCTATAACATTTGCTACTGCAACACTAAGTCACACATTTCTATCCCCTGTAACATATATAGCCCGCTACCTCAACACTAAGTCACACATTTCTATCCCCTATAACATATATAGTCTACTACCTCAACACTAAGTCACACATTTCTATCCCCTGTAACATTTATAGCCCGCTACCTCGACACTAAGTCACACATTTCTATCCCCTGTAACATTTATAGCCCGCTACCTCAACACTAAGTCACACATTTCTATCCCCTGTAACATTTATAGCCCGCTACCTCAACACTAAGTCACACATTTCTATCCCCTGTAACATTTGCTACCTCAACACTAAGTCACACATTTCTATCCCCTGTAACATTTATAGCCCGCTACCTCAACACTAAGTCACACATTTCTATCCCCTGTAACATTTATAGCCCGCTACCTCAACACTAAGTCACACATTTCTATCCCCTGTAACATTTATAGCCCGCTACCTTAACACTAAGCCACACATTTCTATCACCTATAACATTTGCTACCTCAACACTAAGCCACACATTTCTATCACCTATAACATTTGCTACCTCAACACTAAGTCACACATTTCTATCCCCTGTAACATTTATAGCCCGCTACCTCAACACTAAGTCACACATTTCTATCCCCTGTAACATTTATAGCCCGCTACCTCAACACTAAGTCACACATTTCTATCCCCTGTAACATATATAGCCCGCTACCTCAACACTAAGCCGCACATTTCTATCCCCTATAACATTTGCTACCTCAACACTAAGCCACACATTTCTATCCCCTGTAACATATATAGCCCGCTACCTCAACACTAAGCCACACATTTCTATCCCCTGTAACATATATAGCCCGCTACCTCAACACTAAGCCACACATTTCTATCCCCTATAACATATATAGCCCGCTACCTCAACACTAAGTCACACATTTCTATCCCCTGTAACATTTATAGCCCGCTACCTTAACACTAAGCCACACATTTCTATCACCTATAACACTTGCTACCTCAACACTAAGCCACACATTTCTATCCCCTATAACATATATAGCCCGCTACCTCAACACTAAGCCACACATTTCTATCCCCTATAACATATATAGCCCGCTACCTCAACACTAAGCCACACATTTCTATCCCCTATAACATATATAGCCCGCTACCTCAACACTAAGCCGCACATTTCTATCCCCTATAACATATATAGCCCGCTACCTCAACACTAAGCCACACATTTCTATCACCTATAACATTTGCTACCTCAACACTAAGCCACACATTTCTATCCCCTATAACATATATAGCCCGCTACCTCAACACTAAGCCGCACATTTCTATCCCCTATAACATATATAGCCCGCTACCTCAACACTAAGCCGCACATTTCTATCACCTATAACATATATAGCCCGCTACCTCAACACTAAGCCGCACATTTCTATCCCCTATAACATATATAGCCCGCTACCTCAACACTAAGCCGCACATTTCTATCACCTATAACATATATAGCCCGCTACCTCAACACTAAGCCGCACATTTCTATCCTTTATAACCATCCGTCATGACCTTAGTGACCCACACACTAGCACCGACCTAGCCCTAACCTAAGCACCAATCCTTACCTTCCTTAACCGTAGCTTTAACCCCAGCCCTATCACTAACCCCCATACACTACCTTTATCACTAAACCAGGCCATTACACTTACCATTTTACAAACCCTAGACTGGACACACCACAATATTATCCATGCACTATCCCTGCATTACCCCTGCACTATCCCTGCACTATCCTTGACTCTGACAATACTCACTTAAAAGACCGCCCCCACTCCCTCATGTAATATCTCATCGCCTTAGAGCAGGGTTCTCCAAACTACGGCCCGCGGGCCGGATGCGGCCCGCGATGTCCTCTCATCCGGCCCGCGGAGATCTTTTTGTCCACGGAAAAAAAAACGTTTGTTGGTGATGGCTGAGGAACTTTGCCCAGAAAAATCAAAGACATGCCTGAAAGAAACTGGCCCCCGAACTGAAATGTGATAGTTAATGCGGCCCTCGGACTGAAAAGTTTGGAGACCCCTGCCTTAGAGCAAATTTGTAGTGAATCGAAACAGCAGTGATACAACGAATCCTATCATTAAAAAAACCATTCATTTATGACCAACGTTTGTGGCTGACAAATTTGTTAGCACCTGCACTCAAGCTGACTGTACACAGGTGCTTTACACCTGTCCCCGTGAGCACAAACACGGTGGTAGCCACGGGCTGGGAGCAGTAGATCTCCGAGGTTGTGGGGTTGATCTCCAGCCGTTTGAGGCGTGAGCATTTGATTTCTTTATCGGCATTCATATAACTCACGCCTATCGTGTCTCTAAAACCTAAGAGAGAGTTTAAGATTATACGATGCGTGTACAAAATAAGACGGGTAGATGCGTAAACAAAAGACCAATGCGTACATGCCTAGCACTCAGTTTAACCGTTGATGCCAGTATATTTTAGGCTATGTGCGCACACATAAGTCTAGTTTAATTTAGTCTAATATTTAGATTACCTGTAAAAACAAGCAAAACAATCGAGCCACCTACCACAAGTAGCCTAACTGCCGGAAATTCACTTACCACAGGTAATTGCCGGAAACTCACCTACCACAGGTAATTGCCGGAAACTCACCTACCACAGGTAATTGCCGGAAACTCACCTACCACAGGTAATTGCCGGAAACTCACCTACCACAGGTAATTGCCGGAAACTCACCTACCACAGGTAATCGCCGGAAACTCACCCACATCGTTGACTACAATCCGAACAAACTCCACCACAACCATGTCAGTAAAGTTGAAGGTCACGCTGGTCTTGGCCGCGTTGCCGATGCACGTGCTATCGTCGTTGTCAATTAACCTGGTCTCCTCCGTTGTGGCTGACGAGGAAAGGTCAACTGGAAAATAGACAGTGGTCAACTGGAAAATAGACAGTAGTCAGCTGAAAAATAGACAGTGGTCAACTGGAAAATAGACAGTGGTCAACTGGAAAATAGACAGTGGTCAACTGGAAAATAGACAGTGGTCAACTGGAAAATAGACAGTGGTCAACTGGAAAATAGACATGAAATAGACAGTGGTAACTGGAAAATAGACAGTGGTCAGCTGGAAAATAGACAGTGGTCAACTGGAAAATAGACATTGATCAACGGGAAAATGACATTGGTGATCTGGAAAATAGACCTTGGTCAATCAGAAAATTAAAATGGCTGAATAAAATAGAAATTGTATATAAAATAGACCTGAATAAGAGAAGACTTACTGTATTGACAATAGTGTCCGAAAAACGAGGCCTCACACTTGACCCCCTCCTGGCACATTCCATTGTCGTCACAGCGTAGATTTGCACACCGGCATCGGAAGCGGCACTCAGGCCCAAACCAGCCGGCAGGGCAGGTGGCTGGAATAGACAGGTGAGGTGTGTGTTCAACACGTTTAGGACGGACAGGTAAGGTCTGTGTTCAACACATTTTAGACATACAGGTGAGGTGTGTGTTCAACACATTTTAGACATACAGGTGAGGTGTGTGTTCAACACATTTTAGACATACAGGTGAGGTGTGTGTTCAACACATTTTAGACATACAGGTGAGGTGTGTGTTCAACACGTTTTAGACATACAGGTGAGGTGTGTGTTCAACACGTTTTAGACATACAGGTGAGGTGTGTGTTCAACACATTTAGGACGGACAGGACATTTTTGTATTAAACACAATAGGGACTTACATGACATGTCTATGTCAAACATGGCAGGTACAAACAGGTTGTCTATGATAAATTTACTTTAGACAGACAGGATAGGTCTATGTTAACAGACATGATTTGTATAAGCAATAGACAGGACATATCTATGTTGAATACATCAAGAAAAACAGAAATGTTACCTCGTACTTCGTCTACTTAAGACAAGTTCAGTGAGTTACCTTTTAGAGTGACGTGCTACAACTTAACAGTTACCTGAGGTCACCGCAGGTAACAGAGCGATCAGGACACCCCTCAGTAGACATAACACAAACGTCATTTCTCTGGGTGTCAAGCTAATGAGTACCAAATACAAACTCTATCACCTAAATATTCATTAAACTAATGAGTACCAAATACAAATTACATTTCTATCACCTACATATTCATTAAACTAATGAGTACCAAATACAAATTACATTTCTATCACCTACATATTCATTAAACTAACGAATAAAAAATGAAAGTAAAACCCACGCATTCCAAGAAAAAAAATTAGGAGGAAATACGAAGAAAGCTAATCATGAATTAGTAAATATTTAGCATATTTGCAATTTTAATATTTTATTTACATAAAGAATAAAAGGAAAGAGAAAAAACAGATAGGGAAATAAAACACCGTACCATAGCCCGTATGACACAATGAACTGCTCGCTACACAAAGCACCACACCATCACTACTCACTACTATCTGAACCACACCACCCCCACATCTCACTCCATAACCAATACAACAATCCTCACCACACTCAACTCATTAAAAGCCACACCCTGCACCCACTGCAACACTTACACCTAATCAGGTGACCCACACAACATCACTCAGCTCACATCACACCACTCACCATGTACCACACCACACACATACACCACTAGCCATGTACCACACCACACCACAATCATACACCACAAAAGACACGGCATAGGTCAAATCACACACCACCGAACCACACCACCCTCACACCCCACACTATAACCAACACGACATCCCACCACACCACTCCCCAACGTACACACATTCTCATGTGTGTAGTACAAATAAAAGCATAAAAAACTCACCTTACATGTAGATCTTGAATCTAGATCTAGATCTAGATCATTTTTAAATATAGACCTAGAAATTTATATCGTAATATAATAAAGCTCTGAGATGATTCGATAAACAATTTAAAAAAGCCAGCAATTATTGTCAACACACGAGGAAAAAAACCACATAATTTATTTTTTTAAAAGCAGAAAAGTATTTTTAAAATAACACCGTAAATTACTAAAAAGATTTCGTTCTATGTAATAATGAAACTTTTTATATTTTGACTATTCCGTTCAACAGAATTGTATTCAGAGTGCATTCTAGTGCAGTGGGACACAATATACGTCGTGCGCTCAGAATAGTCGTCTTTGCTGTAGATTTTAATTTCGTACGCGTTTTTTATGACCCATTTCAGAGCACTAACGCTATTTTCATGCTGTTAGAAAAAGACAAAAAGTTACAAATGTGGACCTAGAGTTACGGAGTTTCTTCCGGGTATCTTTTCGAAGTTGGTCTACCGCCGCCCTGACCGAAATATAATTATACCACCCGTGTCCGCAAATCCACCGAAAATTAAGTCCGCCCCCCCCCCACTCAACCCCCAAAAGTGTCACCCCCCCCCCCCCCAACCATTTCGGAGAAAAATGTCTTTAAAAAAAACGAACACTGCTTACATTAGCTATAATGAAAAAGCTGTTGTGTTCTAAATATTAGCAAAAACAGACTTTAGATCTAATTTTATTGCAAATCTGTCCTCTAAAAATTATTACCAATACTATCGCAGTTCAACACTTTCTAATCTAAACGTATTCTCATAACCAGATCCTTCTCAAAACGTTATTGGTGCATTATCCGTCAAGACCAGTTTCATTTATCATCATTACACAAAGGCGTTTAATTAATTCTTATAAAAAGAAAAAGTATTGTTTTCCTATGTTAAGTCTTAGTGCTTTAATATCTGGTTATCGTAAAGGTTTTTATGCAGGTTTTATGTATTATTTTTTTTTGCGACAGTTTCATAGCAAGTTGAATTTCATGTTTTAAAACAATTAATACCCTACTGGTTCTTTAATTCAGTTCTTTTTTTAAACGTTGACGCTGCACATTATTAAAATGCTAGTTGTATAACCAGATCTGTGGCAAATGAA